CCGAGACTGAAGGGACAAGTTGTATAGCGGGACAAGTTGTGTAGCAGGACAACAGACGGAAATCCACCCAGGCCTGGGCTTGCATTCCTGGTCTGCGTTTACTAGTTATGAGAATGTAGGCAAGAGAATTTTGGTCTCTCAGCATCTGTAAAAGGGAGCATTGCCATCTAGTCAGAGGCCTTTCGTGCAGATCCAAAGGGCCAAGAGCTATAAGGAATTTGATACATGTTGGGCTACTGGGTTTGCTTGTTGCAAATCTTTGCTTCCTCCTAGGGCATGTATGTGTTTCCTGGGCCACCGCTGCTCCTTGGGAAGAAATAGCTGGAGGAGGCCATAACTACCCTTTCTGGGCTGTGGGTAAGACTGCTTTTGCTTTTCTCACACTTAACCCACCTCTGCCTCTCTACAGCTTACCTGAAGAGGGGTGGCAGTGCCTTTTCTCTTTTATGGAGATGAGAAGCCTGCCTTCCTCTCTTCTGCCCTTGCCCACATCCCACCCACCCTTGCGGCCACTTGGGGAGTTTCCCTTGGTGGCAGAGCTATCTGGGGATAGGCTGCCTACATCAAAAATAGGGCAGGCGAGGAAGGGAGGCTTGACAGGAAGTCCAAATAAGCACTTCCTCCCACCCACTTTCAAACTTTTGAGGTACCTCAGTGAAAACAGCAGAGAAACAGAGAGGATGAAAAAGATTTTTTTTTTTTTTTTTTTAAAGAATGAACTTGTCAGCTTTGAGGAAATGGAAAATATTGCTCCTCGTTGTCTCGCATGTAACAGCTGATTCCTGCTCTCCTCATGTGTATCCCAGGATGGGGGAGGTGAGGACTGTGTCCAGTCTGGGGTGTCAGGCACATATTGGGGGCTGTTGGGGCAGACTAGAGCATGGCCTGAGGAACGGTGGCTGTGGGCGGGCACCAGCATCTCCCCACGTTTCCCACCCTGCAGTCTCCAGGAGCTCTGGTGAGCATGGCCCTTGCACCTCCCCGGGTGATTGCATGGCAAGCCTGTCCCCCCAGCTCACCCATTCTGAGGTATGGTCACCACGTTGTGTCTTAGTGTATGGCCACTGGGTGTGTGGAAGCACCCTGCTCAGAAAAGTGGTCAGGGCCCCTTCTGGGCTTTCCTGTGCTACCCTCTCGTGTGGGTGCAGGCCTTTGCCATCAAGAAGGATTGCACACAGATGGCGCTTTCACTACCAGCCTCTGAGGATGAAGGGGAAAACTGTCCCCTCCTTGTGATGGTGACATCTGCGGTTCTTGTTCCCTCTATAGGCAAACCCGCCCAGGCCCTAAGGAAAGTTCAAGAGCAATTCACTCCAGCAGTGCCTCACTTTGAGTGGCCCAAGCAGCCATAAGATGTTGGTGGAGGTGAGGCTGGGTTCCACCCGCGCAAGGGCATCTGTCTCCACCACCCACAAGGCCCCATGTCGTCACCCTCTCCGTGCCTCACGCCCCCACTTTGGCCTCTCTCCCCAGCCAAGACCCTTGGTACAAGTCAAATACGAGTAAGTGTGTCCTCTCACCCACCATCTAAGGCCTTAGCAGCCTCTCCTAGGAAGCCAACACTCTCCCCTCCAAAGGCCTGCCTTCCGTTCTCTCCTGGTGGCCGAGGGCCAGTCCCCAGACTCTGCCCCACGCCATGTGCAGAAGCTGCAGCTACTAAGTCTTTTCTAATGAATCACTTATCTTTCTCACCCCTCAAATTAGCGGTGAAGAAGACAGTCATCTCCTCCCATGATTCTGCTGTGGGTTAGCAGGAAAAGAGGGGGCTTCAAGTCCAGGTGGGGTGGGGTGAGGCAGGGGAAACAGGGGAGGTCCCTGACTCTCGCAGTATGCAATTCCTACATCTGCTTTTAGTCCCTAAGATCTAAAAATCTGACACCTCACTCCCTAGAGGTATCACTCTCTTGTCCACAAGCTCATTGATTGCACTTTTCAAATTCCTGTCCCGTGAGTCCCTGTTCCCTATACTGGCATGGCGTTCTTAGTGTGAGCTGACTGTCCCTTCCTAATCTGGACAAAATATCCCAAAGTCTGAGAAGGCCTCTGCTAACCTTTCCATTTGCTCCTTCCTGAGTCCTGGCTTTCTCCACCAGCTCAGAGAGAGGGAGAGAAGGGAGAGGGCATTCCCACCCAGGCTACAGCTTTTCATCACTATGCCTTACCTGTCCCTCTCTCTGTTCTGCTTCATGCTTGAAGCCAAGACCGATGCCTGCTAGAGGATTGGTGTGAGCTGGCCCAGCCTTCACTGCTGCAGCATCCCTTCTGTGCTGGGCTGTACCAAGGGGCTGCCATTAGGACTCTCCTCAGGCAAGGAGTGGGCCAAGCGAGCTGACCTGCGCAGAATCACTGTGGTCCTTCTGGCATCCTGAACCTCTCCTGGGGACAAACTGGCCCTGCCCCCAGAGCTTCGGGAGCCCTCAGCCAGAGACAGGAGATGTGAAATTTGTGAGTGTTGGGAAATCACCGAGGTCTGAGGAAGAAGAAAGACTCCAGGCCTGAGGCAACCCACTTCCCCTCGAGTCACTTGTTCTTGTCTATTCGGTGGCTCTTCTGAGGAATCGGCCTCTGGCTATATGGGGAGGAGGCACCAGAGGCCTCATAGAAGGTGCTGGATCCTCTTTATAACTTGTCCAGAATGACAAGCTCCCTTGCTTTTCATGGTAAGGAGGCTGATAGAGTAGGACAGAGCACAGACTCTGGAGACAGAGCTGGGTTTGCATCCCTTCTCCACCAGAGAGATTTATGCAACATCTCAGAGCCTTGAGGTGACAGAAAAGGAAGGACAGGGACTCTGGACCCAGAGAGGGCACCAGAGAGACCTGGCTGCACAACCCACTTGCTGGGTGCAAGGCAGCAAGTACATTTACCTCTCTGAGCCTCAGCTTTCCCTTCTGTAAAATAGGAGAGGTAATAGCGCGAATAATTAACAAGATTCTAGCCTACTCCCCAGCACACGGGAAGGACTCTAGGTGTTTCACTCGTGATGAGTCTTATCTCCATCATCACTGTCGTCCGCATTTCTTACCTGCCGTGTCTCTCTTCTAAATGGGCTCCAAGGACTGTCCATCTTGGCCACACTTACTGGAACGTTCTCTCGAGGGAGCCTGATACTTAGCTATACCTTAATTCAATCTCTATGTTTCTGTAGATATTTATTCTCCTGACTGGGAGTGAACATCATTTAAAAAAACGCTTCTACCTGTAAGAATGATTTTAAATATTCCTTTCCATAGGTGCTGTGTGGGGTTTTTTTTTTTGCTCGCTAAGTACCCACCAACACACAGCCCCTCACAGGTCCAGAATGTTCTCCCTCTGCTCCATCTTCCAAAGCCCTGCTTCAATTCCAGCTAATTCCACAGCTTTTTTTTTTTCTTAAGATTTCATTATTTATTTTAGAGAGAGAGTGAGTGAGTGATCAGGGGCATGAGCATGGCATCGGGGCAGAGGGAGGGGGAAAAGCAGACTCCGCACTGAGCAGGGAGCCCGATATGACGTGGGGTTCGATCCCAGGCAGACACTCAACCCACTCACCCACCCGGGCACCCCCACAACATCTTCTTAGACTACCCTACGCAGAAGTGATTTCTCTCTTTCCTTCTCTTTTGAAATAGCTTTCTGTCATCGACCACTGTTTGGTGATTTGAAACACCAGATAACCTCTCCCCACAATGGCGGAGCTTTTGAACAGCAGGGCTGTGCCCTGTGGAGCACAGTGAGTTCCTGAGAGCTCTTAGGTCCCTGACCCTGTGCAGAGCACTTGCCTGGGTGGCCTTGATCAATGACTCGTGCCTCCAGCGCTCCTTGGGCTGTTTCCCAGGTGCTGGGCCTGGAATGAAATGCAGATCTCCTAGTAGCTCAGAAAGACCCAGAGAGGCTGGAGCAGGGACAGTGGGGCTCCTTTGTGCCGAAGATGGGAACTCTGCATGGCCAAAGCTGCCCTCGGAAGGGCTTCAATAATGGAGGTCCTTGGGGACCAAGGTAGTGTCACTCAGTAAGTGCAACAGAGCCTGATGCTTTCCTCAAGCACCAGAACGGAGAGCTGTGCGTGAATGTGGGGGCCCGGAGCATTAGCTCAAGCGGAGAACCCGTGTTTAGACACTGCAACATTTCACAAATGTATTTGCATTTATGCACTGGATTTGCCCTCTGCTGATGAGGGGCGCATCCTCTGAGAAGTGCGAGGGTCTGAGAGCAGCTCAGAGAGCAGCGGGTGCCCATATCCTGCCGTAGCACCACTCTGGAGAGTGTACTCTTTGGGCAGAGGATATGGGGGAATCGATGGTGCCTAGAATCTATGGGGAAAACCACAGCAGATAGAGCCCGTGGCATCATCAACAGCGGTCGCTATTTGTGTGCTTTTGATTTTTTTTTTTTTTAGTTTATCCTGTTAACTGCATTTTAAGTTTATGTATATATGAGACAATTCCTGTTTTCCTATTTTACGGATATGGAAACCGAGACTCCTCGATTTTAAGCCCTTGTGTGGGGTTGCACAGTGTGGAAACAATCCGATCAGAAGTGAAACCTGGGTATGCTCAGTGCAGCCCCTTTCTCAGCCCTGGGTGCCTGGCTCCCTCCCTGAGAATCATCTCCTAACTCCACGGAAGCTGAAGGAATGTCATCCTTATCCTTTCGGGAGAGACTGAGGGATGGTTGGAAAGTGTTACAGAGCCATGCTCCTTACCCCTGCAGTTTGCTGATGGGGGAGCTTATGTATATTTGAGGTCAACTGTCAAAATCGGTTTTCATCTGCAAAGACCCAGCCAAGAAGGACGGCGGTATGACTATCTGGGTGCCAGGACTTTTAATGGAAATGCGCTTGGGCTCACACCAGAGTCTAAGTCCCCCTCACTGCCCCTCCCGTGGGGTGGGGGTGGCCAGGAGGCCAGGACCAGGGCAAGATTACCACCCTGGTGCTCTAGCTACCTCTCCAGCCCCTAGAGCTGGGCTTCCTTGTTTACTTATTTAGAGCCGAGCAGAGGAAGTGGTAAAGGAAACTTGCTGAGTCGTTTTCTGAGAAGAGACCATATTTGTTCGCAGAGGAAGCCATTGCTTTCTGGGATCTGGTTAGAGCCGAAAAGACGTGTGCTCCAACAAGGGGGTTCCAGAAGGTAACTGGGAGTTGGAAGAGCCAAGGACATCTCCGTGCTCTGGATTCGGGGTTCTCTGTCCATGGGTGCAGCACCTACGCTCTGCCTGTGAGTTCTATCCCAGGAGCGCAGCCATGGCATTGAAGAACGTGCCCTTTCGCTCGGACGTCCTGTCCTGGGACCCCGACAGCCTTGCAGACTATTTCAGGAAGGTGAGCCTTACTCTTTGGTCAGTGTTGAGGTTGGTGGCCCTCGGTGGTCTGGACGGAGGCTTGGAGGAGGAGTCTGGGCAGAACACGAGAGGCACAAAACAGAGCGGGGACCATCCAAGCCCACGGCAGCCTTACCAGCTAAGCGAGCGGGGTGTAGATGAACGTACACACTGAGTGCACCTGGCGATGAGTTCCGGGGAGAAGGGGGGCCTCAGATGGACGTGCACCCATTAAATGCCAGGCCTCTGGTTTGTGCTCCCTAGGCACTGTCCCGTTTAATGCTCTTTGGGATCACCGTCCTCTTGGCTCAGCTGCAAAGCAGGCTCAGGGAGGTTACAATGGCCCAAAGCCCCAGGGACTACATGTGACACACCTTTCTGGCTTCAAAGTCCATGCTCAGAGACTCAGAACTGCTGTAACCACTAATGAGATCGAGGCTGCTTACTAGAAAGGGGTGAATGGAGCCCTGGGCGTGGGAGAAAGCAAAGGCAGGGCAGGAGGGCTGGAGAAGGCTAGGACGGACAATGCCAGAACTGGCGTCTGGGCAGTAATTGCTCCTGACCTGAAAGAGGGCTCCTTAAGCCCTTAGGGAGAATGGAGTCTTGCTGGAGCTCTCGGAAGGTCTTATGAAGGAGGCAAGAGAACTGCTACGAGCTCCAGGTTGTGATCGGTTGAGATAGCTGGGGAAACTGAGGCACCTAAGAGGAAGAATTTCACCAGCAGGGTCAGAAGCCAGGCTTGTGGCCAACCCGAGACGGGAGTGATACTGTTCTGTGTTCTGGCCCTGGAGGGGCTGCTCAAGGACCCCTGTGCTTGGTCATCTGCTGGGGGGACCACAGGCCACACATCTGCTTGGGGGAGATCCCAAGCCACATGACTCAGGGACTCTCCAACTCTGTTCAAGGGATATCCCTCAGAAGGGACATCTGAGCTTCTAACAGCCCTGTCCCTGGAGGCTTCGATGGAAATCAGTTGACACTCCAGATGGTTGTAAAGATGTGATTTTAAGGTCAAGACTTTCAAGGTCATTTGAGTCAACTTTCTGTTTTTCCTGGGAGTGGAATGGGGCTCTCTGGGACACAGAGACACCTGGGATCTTTATAGTGCCTCTCTGCTCCCCCTCCACCTACAGGAGAGACATGTGCGGATGTAGAAGCGGGTGTGGCGTGAAAGAGGCACAGCCCCAGGCCCTGTTATTTGCTGCTTTGTGTACATCTCGTTTTTGTTCTTCTTTCCTCCAAAAGGTCACAATAAGCTTAGGTTTCAGCACTGTGGGTGCAAAGGTGGTTGGGACAACTGACTTTTGAAGTGTTTTTCTTAAATGTAGACCAAATAGGTTAGGACAAGAAGGTAACATTTGTCAAGATGCTATAAAGTTGCATGTTACGTCCATTAAAGAAAAGAGAAAATGCTGAGAATGGATGAGAGGATCCTGGGATCGGACTGAAAGGCCCAGACGGGCCCCATTGTCAGTGTGAGAAGAACTGTACAACAACGATGCCACAGCAGAATGCATGGGCAAATCCCACCCTGTGCGGGGAGACAGATGATAGGTCAGGGGTGACTCAGGACAATGGCTATCTGCCTGGGCTTGGGGAACAGAGAGCCTCCTTCTTGGAGACCCCAGACCCTGGGACACATCTGTAGCACTGGAACAGGTTCCTTCTCCTGACATAGAAAGGAAGAAAGAAGGAAGGAAGGAAGGAAGGAAGGAAGGAAGGAAGGAAGGAAGAAATGAAGGGGAAAGGAAGGGAAGGGAAGGAAGAAAAATGACGGTAGGATGCGATTAAAGGGAATCTGTGATCCGGAAGTTCCCATCCCCCACGGACTCAGATGGATGTCCTTCAAATCCTGGGCAATTAATTCCCCCAGAGAGAACATAGCAAATGAACTGGCCACGAAGTCATTTGGGGATGGATCTTAGTCATCAATGATCCTGTTCAAAGAATCCATGACCAGGTACAATTACTACCGAAGCGGAGAGGTTGGTCCCCCCTCTGAGACTCCTCCCAGGCAGCTCCAGAGTCAGGTACTTTGCTCGGAATCCTGGCTCTACCACCTGCCAGCTGGTGACCTTCCCTTCTTTACTTCACCTCTCTGAGCCTCAGCTTCCTCATCAACAAACTAGAGATGCTCACAGCTACTACCCTCATGGCGTTGTTGAAAGGATGAAAGGAGATATGGTGTGTGCAGCACTCAACAGATTACGGGGGGCCAATTTATGTTTGATAGTCCCTTTTCCTGCTGTTCATCGGACCCTAGCTGGGGATGCCCAGGCAGATTGGCAGGCCTTTGTGTCTTACCTAGATATGTGGAGCTCATCCTCTGTCGGGAATGCAAGTCCCTGAGGACAGAGGTCATGTTTTGGATTTCTTTAACCCCTCCAATTTCCTTCTCTTTCTTTCTTTCTTTCTTTCCTTCTTTCTTTCTTTCTTTCCTCTTTCTTTTTTTTTTTTTTTAAGATTTTTCTTTATTATTTGAGAGAGAGAGAGAAAGAGAGAGCAGGGTGAGAGGCAGAGGGAGAAGCCGACTCTCCACTGAGCAGGGAGCCTGATGTGGGGCTCGATCCCAGGGCCTTAGGATCATGACCTGAGCTGAAGTCAGATGCTTAACTGACGGAGCCATCCAGGTGCCCCTAACCCCTCCAATTTCTTTTGACTTGGCAAGAGAGCATTCCTGGGCCATGCGTGGTAAGGCACTGGGTCAGAGCCATTTCTAATCCCAGCTATGTTCCCAAACCACTGTGTGACCTTAGGCCAATCACTTCCCCTCTCTGGGCCTCAGTTGTCCCACCTACAACACCAGGTACCTGCTCTAGACCACTGCTTTCAAAAGCTGGGTCCTCATAGAATCCTCTATGTGCTTGCTAAAAAACACAGTTTCTAGCCCCCAGGCCCAGGTATTAATGAATCAGAATCAAACTTCTGGGGAAGCCCCAGTCCACAGGGCTATCTGTCTACGTAGAGTCCAAGGCAGCAATCTGCAAAGTCAGAACCTTACCTGACAATGATGACATGAATGATGAATTAAAGGCAGTTGAATATTCCAAGAACTTCTACCCCATTGCATAGAAATAGAAGGGATGCTCATGGTGTCTCAGATGTTGTTCATGTTCCACACTGACCTCAAAATCAGCTTTTCCTGAGCTTTCTAATGTTTATTCCACCCTTTCAAGCCAAGAGACTACAACAATTATTTTCACTTTTTAGATTGATTGACCATTAAAAAAAAAAGACCATAATTTGCCCCCAAAAGAAGCCTGCCACAAACTGTGAGCCTCACCCTTGTGAGAAGAACCAAAGATTCTCCAGGACAGACTTTTCACCTTAAATACTGCAGCCCAAAGTATCACATTTGGAGATTTTCAAATGCAAACTCTTAGGCTGTTGAAAACAAGGTGAAATAGAAAACTGATAAGATTATCAACTGCTGTTACTCTTTGGGAAAGCAACCAAGTTCATTCCTGTTGATCTTGTGACCTATTCTGAGAATCCAGCTTAATTTATCTTAAATAGAGCAAAAACAAAAAAAAAAAAAAAGAAAAAGAAAAAGAAAAAGAAAAAACTGCGTGCAGAAGGATATCCATGATGCTCTTTCTATATTTTGATCTCGATGGTGTATCGGGTACACTTAAGTATGTTTGCTCTACTTACTGTAAGTTATCCTGTTACTAACAAAAAGGAGAACATTCACGGCAGAGACATTAAAACCTTGTCCTGAGGCCCGATTGTCACCTCTGTCACCTGTTACCCATGGACCTCGTGCAAGTTATTTAACACTCTGTATCTTTGACCCTGTCTGGAAGAAGTGAGAATTAAAGACTTAAGATTGGTTAAAATACACAGAAGAGTGCCTACCAGATAGCAAGCACTCAATAATTATCAGCTGTTTCTATTACCATAATTGGAACAGCAGTTTGGTAAAAAAAACCTAAATGATCAGCAAATGAAGGAGTAATTAAAGAAAATAATATTTAGAATAGGTTGGTGATAACATGAGGCAGTGCCTCTATCATCATTTTAAGGTAATTTAAGAGAAAAAGTTAGGATAATAAAATTAAATAATTAAGTGATAACCTCCTTTATGTTTAGAGATATGCTCAGAATAAAGCACTATAGGAAGCTCATTGAATATTCTCCAAGGTTGTCTTTTGGTGGTGATGCCATGATTGTTATTTATTTTATTTTTCTCACCTCTTCTCTGTGTGCCTGAGGAGCATGTGGCTAGACTTCATAGGCTTGAAGGCACTTTCTTTTGGTAGAAGTTGGCCCCAAAATCTTCGACGGAGGCAATGTCTCCATTTCAGAGAGTCCCAAGGGGCAAGTGAAAGCAGAGCTGAGGTAGGGATGGGCCCATCTGTTAGATAGTGGGGGGAAGGAGGGCAGGGGTCTGGCTAGCCACAAGTAACACAAATTGCTAAGCTTCTGGGGCAGATCAGTAAGGGGAACTAACAGCATGCACCTGCCCACCACTGACAGCACCTTCCTCTCCTCTTTGCAGCTGAACTACAGGGACTGTGAGAAGGCAGTGAAAAAGCATCACATCGATGGGCAGCGGTTTTTGGTAAGTGCTGGTCAGTTTGACACATTAAGACCAAAGCTGTTCCACATGTTAACCAATCATGGCGGAGCCAACTGGTCTACTCTGTTCTTGGGGATGCTCAGGGTCAAGGCTGGTCTTCAGAATCTCCACACAACCCTTTGCCATCTTCTGAGGTTTCGTATGGCCCTTGCTGACATCATCTCTCAGGATCTGATTATCCAGGATACCTCCTGAGTCTTTCACCAATACCAAGGTGCATTCTAAAGTCAAAGTATAAGGAGGAATCCAAGTACGGTTCACACACACACTCACACACACAAGCACACACACACCCCTTGAAAATCTTTTCAAATGCCATCCATACTTTAAGAAATCTAAGGGGGGAAAAGACCATTTGGGAGAACAGAAGATTCTTTTTTCCCATCTCTCATTCTGGAGTACATACTCACCGAATGGGATAAAGTGTGAAATCACTCTCATCATTCATTACATCCCTCATTCTCTCTACCAAATTCATATAGTTTTTGCCAATTAAACACACATGTGATAGGACTCTCTCTACTCCCTTATATTGCAAAGAGCTTTAATATAATACTAAGATGCGGTTGTACGTGAAGGACTAAGCCCTCAATTGGAAAGAGGTGCAGCTCTGAGAAGTGGGAAGTGGTTGGGAGGTGGTCTGAGCATTTCCCCTGATATGCTACTTTGCCTATGGGAAAGACAAACCCCAGCTGTACCAATCTACCCCCTTCCCATCTCATGCTTCCTTGCCCTTCACAAAGAAGTCAGAGCAAGACTTCGAAAGTCTCATGGATAGATGCTCCAAATCCTAATTTGGATTAGGAATGAGGAGGGCAAGGTAAATTGTGCTTCCTTGCAAGGCATGGCTAGCAACAGCGAGGTCTATCGCCATGAGACCTCAGCCTTAGAAGGGGCCAGAGACGTTACAAGCTCTAGCTTTCTGCCCAGCTCTCCAATCCATTTCCTATATTGCATTTCTGCCATTAACGACTGCCTGAATTCTTTTAGGGATGGTGTGCTCGCTACCACACATAGTCATTTCCCCTTTCTAGGCAGCTCTTAAGTTTCATGCTGAACTGGACCCTACTGGTCTGAGTTTTGCTTTCATGTGCCATGTAAGACACGTGTATTCTGTTTCACCTACATCATGCTGGAATTGACCCATCCATTCACTTCACAAGCATTTTTCTGGGCTCCCTTTACATATTGGACCATGTCACATCCTGGGAATATAGAAATGACTAAGGTGTGGTTTCGGCCTTCCAGAAGCTTGTTTTATGGCAATAAGGTATCTTTGGGAAGGCTCCAACCACCCTATTTGCAACTGAGGAAAAGTGTAGAGAGGCATGATGTGTATTTTCTAAGTTCCATACCTAGTTATTGTACTAAAGCACACACTTAATTTACTTTAACACTGTATGAGTTTTTTCACAATGTTATTTCTTCATACTGAGCCTTGAGCCTGGGGAAAACCTGGAGTTTTGTTGTTGTTGATCTTGGCACCTTAGTACTAAATGTAAACATTTCCTTCTGGTGCCTTTACCACTGGGAACTGAGATCCGAGACTCATCAGTGCTGAGAGGACCTCTTTGTGGGTGGTCCTGCTTGTAGCCCTGATGCTCTGGGGTCATCTTAGGCAAGCACTTGCCTTCTCTGAGCTTCTGTCTTCTCCTCCTGAGCAGAAGCACATTGGACCAGGTCACAGTGGGTGACAGTCCCTTCCAGTCCCTACAACACTTCCTGTGTGAAGCTTGGGCCTGCTAGGACAGGGCTGTTTCCATGGCTAAGAGATGCTCTCAGAGCAGCTGTCTCGTCTGCTCCCGTATCCAGGACCTGTCAGCCCCTGGACACTGCGGCGTATTCTGCTTATCATGTGACCAGGAGCAAGTGGAAAGCAGGGGACTAGGAACCAGAAGAACGGGGAGCAGAGCCTGGTGTCTAGCCCCACAACTGGGGTATTTGAAGACAGTTTCTGCTGAAACACCACTCCACCCCAGGTGCTCTGGGTACAGCATGAGCTCTGAGGGGAGCTCTAATCTCTCATCCATCACTCCCGGTGTTGTAATATCCGGGACCATTCTGCTCCTGAAGACAGCAGAGGAAGTCTGCATTCTCTGTTTCTTTCTTTCTTTTTTTTTTTTTTTTTTTAAGATTTTATTTATTTATTTGACAGAGAGAGAGAGAGCTCACAAGTAGGCAGAGAGGCAGGCAGAGAGAGAGAGGGGGAAGCAGGCTCCCTGCTGAGCAGAGAGGACCTCGACCCCAGGACCTGAGCCGAAGGCAGAGGCTTTAACCCACTGAGCCACCCAGGCACCCCGCATTCTCTGTTTCTCTTTGTTGCTGGGGCTAGTAGGTCGCTCGCATCGGTGTTGCTGCTGTTTTGGTTTCCTAGTGAGAAGAGAAGAACCTTGCCTGGTGGGGAAGGGGATGCCGTACTTCCAGAAAGTTGAAAGAGAGGAAGAAAAGTGTTTGGAACTGTGTCAGGTAGGAAGGCATGTGGCTGTCTTTAACAGAAACCTGACCACAGTGGCTTAACCAAACAGGGGTTTATCTTTCTCAAGCGATAAGGAATCTAGAGCAGGCTATAGGGGCTGGTGAGCGGCTGAACACAGTCACTGGGAATCCGGCCCCGCCACGCCCCACAACTAGTCTATGGAAGACACTTGTGGCTTCTGCCCAAGGGGCTGCAGGTTGGCTGTGACATGTCAGGACCTCACATCCACATTCTAGGCAGGAGGATGCAGGGCAGGGCCAAGAGTAAAAGGCACAAAAATGTGTGGGGAATGCGTCCCCTCCTTTTCAGGAAAGCAGTAACTTTTCCAGATGTTCCATCCCGTAGACCTCAGGTTATAGCTCACGGGCCGCACCTGAGTCCCATGACCTCTACTGTAGCGGGGAGGTGTAGGGAGCTCAGTATTTTGGACATGGCATGTTTACTGCTCTGAATGAAATCCGGGTCCAGGCAGCAAGGGAGCACGAGAGAGTGGACAGTGGGCGAGCACACAGCAGCACCCGCAGTCTCCTCCCCAGCCAGGGCCCCGCTTGAGGACACACTCAGCTCCTAGTCGCCCTCCTGCAAAGGCACCAGTGATCACACAGGTAACCCAGAGTGGCCGGAGGTTTTAGAAGGAGGTAGGGGAGGGGTTATATCACACAGCACAACTCTCTAAAAATCCTTTTAAACATCTCTCCTCTTTCCTCCCCATCCCTGTCCCTGTTCTAAAGGCCTGTCTCCTCCCTAACTTCCTGTTCCTCCGCGTCTCCAGCCACACTCAAGACCACCTTCTCCTTCACAATCTTGCTCAGATTCCCTCAGCCTACGTCCCCAACTCGGCCAAACAGAAGGCAAGGGCCAGGCCCTCCCCACCCGTATGCGGCCACAGCCCCCAGCAGCCCTCAGGAAGCCTGTACTCTCGGAGCCACTCTGAATGTGAGTCTTGGCACATCCCTGAGAGGGGCTGGTGCTGGAGGAAGGAGAAGGTGTTGCTTAAAGATGTTAAAAACAATAAAAGAGAGGGGCACCTGGGTGGCATGGTCTGACTCTTGGTTTCGACTCAGGTCGTGATATCAGGGTCTTGAGCCCCATGTCAGGCTCTGCACTCAGCGTGGAGTCTACTTAAAACTGTCTCTGCTGGGGGCCTGGGTGGCTCAGTCCATTAAGTGTCTGACTTTGACTTCGGTCATGATCTCGGGGTCCTGGGATCCATCTCCATGCCAGGTTCCTCACTCAGCAGGGAGTCTGCTTCTCCCTCTCCCTCTGCCCCTTCCCTTCTAAAATAAATAAATCTTTTTAAAAAATTAAAATGAAAAAAGAGAGAAGTTAAGAAGTTTGACCAAAAGCCTGATTGTCTCAGGATTCTGGGCAGACTCCAGCCCCAACCCTGCTGCCAGGGGCCTGGGTCAGACACTGCACCAAAGAGGGGGAGCCCCTGAGCCCAATGGACTCATCACTAAGACGCCCCAGCTCCTGCACCACTGGGCTGGAAGGGAGCACGCCCAGCTCTTTCCCATAGGCAGCCAACAACCTGCCAGGCGGCTCCCAGCCCAGGAGAGGAGCAGAAAAAATTAACCTCTGAAAGCTAGCCAGACCCCAGTTTATTATTATTTACTCTTTATTTTCTTTCTTTCTTTCCTTTTTTTTTAAGATTTTATTTATTTATTTGACAGAGAGAGAGAGATCACAAGTAGGCAGAGAGGCAGGCAGAGAGAGAGAGGGAAGCAGGCTCCCCGCTGAGCAGAGACCCCGATGTGGGGCTCCATCCCAGGACCCTGAGATCATGACCTGGGCCGAAAGCAGAGGCTTAACCCACTGAGCCACCCAGGTGCCCCATTTGTTATTTATTTGCACACAGATTATTCACATAAGGTATATTATTCCCAGAGGAGGGTGTGTCAAGCATGGACCCAAGTTCATGACACACATGATCTCTTCAGGGCTCATAATCCCCGAAAGGTGGCCCTTAGTAGTATTATGACTCTTATTTTATAGATAAGGAAACTGAGGCTTAGAGAGCTTAAGAGTATTCCCCAAATCAGACTGCTATTCAGTGGATGGACCAAGATCCCAAGCTAGCCTGTCTGACTACAGAGATAACAGCCCAACCACCCGTTTTCCAACCTCGGTTAGAACATCAGTTGATCCCTTTCTATGGCTCAACATTAGCTCCATGGAAAGTGTGCTCATGTTTCTGCTATTGGCGCCCTTCCCCTCCTGCTCTGGGGCACCTTCTTGTCTTATCCTTCCCACCCTCTTCCCCTCTAGCATGGTCACCATGTCCCTCAAAGGGATCAGACATGGGAAGAGCAAAGTCTGGAGGAAGAAAATTGACCACGGATACCACAGAGCAGGGCTCCAGCCCCCACTCCATCACCTACAAGCTGAAATTCCCTTAATATCCTAGAGCCTCAGCTTTCTCACTTGTAAAATGGGAACACTCATGGTTCCTAAATCACAGGTTTGATGTGAGGGTTAATCAGGGTGCGAGTAAGGCAGAGCCCAAGCGTCAGTTCTTCACAAATATGAGTTTCTTTCTCCTTTCCCCTCTCTTTTCCCTCAGGAAAACCTCTCTATTGCATCCCCACATCTAGAGAATGCTACTAATAACCCTGATGGGAGAGATTTTGGGGTGTGTTGGTATAAGGGCCCAGACCTCTTCTTCAGGCTTCTCTATATGGAAACTGAGGGGTAAGAGTCTAGGGGAGAGGTCACAGAGTGACCAAATTCAGTTCACAAAGCAGGTTGTTTGGTTCCACAACTTAACACTCATCATGTTCGTTTGCTCAACTTAAAATTATTGGTCGATATTTCAAACTCAGGAAATTCCACCTAAAATCCAGATTTGGGGATTCCCTTTGAAAAAGTAGATCTGGCCACACCAGGCCCACAGATATTTTATGCAACGTCTGGAAGCTGCCACTTTAGGTAGATGGGGAGAGGTGGACTCTTGGGTTTGCTGCAGTCTCCACTGCTCCTTTTCACACCTCACTTCACTCACCCAGCCCAGGGCCCTTCCTGTGTGGGTTGTAACCTGCCCGCGTGTCTTTGTTTCAGAATCTGACAGAAAATGACATCCAGAAGTTCCCTAAGCTCCGGGTGCCGTAAGTACTTCCCCTGAATTCCTCGTGTGTTGGGGAATGAGGCTGGAATGGGAAGTCTCCAGGGAGTGCCGAGATAGTTAATCTATGACTGTTGGTTTGAACTAGGAGAGTGAGCAGGAAGGGGAGAGGCAAGGGCAGTGTTCGGGAAAGAGAAGTTTCATGACAGGTTGAGAAAAAGCAGCAATAGATTCAGCCCAGCTGGTGCGTTGCCCGCTCTTGCCAAAGACAAGCCTGACTGGGGACCATGTTTTCATTTCCTCTCTCCCAGTGGGGTGGCTTTGGCACCAGAGTCACGAGATCAGCTTCGTGACAGCGTCACAACAAATCAGTGATTGCTCAAGCTTTCTGGACCTCAGTTTCCAGCTTAGGAAAATGACAGAGCTGGACTAGATGGAGAATGGCCGTAGACATCATTCTGGCTGTCAATACTCATTGCTTGAATGGCTTCCAGGGGCACCATCCTCAGAAGAATCCCAAGCAAGGGGGGAGTGACGCATTACCGAGGTCCCACTTGGGTGCTGAAGTGAGATGCCTTGTGCACCTCGTGCCCTGTGTTTTCATCCCTCTAGTAAAGGTCTCACATGCTCAAATGCTTACTGGAGCCAGGTGGGTGATACAAGTGTATAAAATGGGCCAGGTTGAAAAATACAAAGTCCTCTCAACTTCTTTTTCATTTTACCACCTTTAGATAGACTATGGGTATGAAGAAACATTTCTCCACTATAAGAAAAATAATAGGACAAGAAAAATAATGATCAGGAAAGAGGTCATCAATACAAAGCCTCACTGTTGGTGAAAAACTAGGGAGTGGTGGAGACTGCGGCAAATCAGATAATATTTTCCATCCTGAGAGAGCTGCAACTAGTTGGCTCCAGTCCATTTGGACCCAATGATGCTTAATCTTCAAAGTTAACAAAAATCCCCAGAAATATAGATTTTATGTAATGTATTCTCAATATACATCATCAGAGTGTAATAAAATATATCTGTGTAATATATATGTGCCTGGTCTTGGGTGCACTTGGGTTTGCATCTCCTGACCCCCATACAATACTAATACTTCCTTCATTTAATGGACTGCTCCCAGATGCAGAGATAATGTGTCAGGCCTTTGTTAATTATCCAGGCTACAGATAAAGGGACAGAATCCCCACTCAGGACGTTCACATTCTAGTGGGAGGGTCAGATATACAAAGCACTCCTACCACGATTATAACTGTGTTGTGGTACATGCAGGTATCCGTTCCGTGGGGACATAGGAAGGCATGAGTCACTTTCCCTGTGACATTCAGGGAAGACTTTGGGGAGGCAGAGAAGATAAGTTGGATGCTGACATACACCAGGAAGGGTCAGAAAAAAAAAAAAAAAAAAAAAAAAAAAGGTTGACATTCTAGGAATGGGCAATGCAAAGGCATGGGCACCAGGGAGTTGAATGGAACAGCCAGTGGTCAGGGCAGGTCAGGGAAGCTGGGGCGCACACCAAGCAAAGAGTCAGTAACTGGTCACACATGAGAAGGGTCCCGTGAGCTGTCCTGAGGAACCTAAGAGGCTTGGGGAGGTGAGGGCCACAGGGACAACAGGGAGATAAAGCTGGTGTCTTGGCTTTCCCCGGGCAGTGTAAAAGATGTCAGGGTAGGGCCCAGCCTCAGACAGGGAAGCCAGCGAGGGGGTGAGGGGCATGAACCCACTCATGGCGTAGGAGCCTCGGCAAGGACAGTGGCCCTGAACAATCAGGACAGAGGGGATTGAATCAGAGCAGTGGAAGGAGAAAGATAAGGAAGGCACTTTCAGCTTGGAAGATCCTTTTTTACCTTAAGGCTGAGCTCGCTTGGTGTCTGGAGCTATGCTGGAGTGTCTGGAGGAGGGGGCGTGTGAGACATGGTTGCTAGTTATTGTGGAAGGAGGATTGTAAACACTTGTATTGGGGTGCAGGGAGGATGGGGCATTCCTTTAGCCACTTGAAAATGGAAACAAAATGTCCCTCCAATGTGTGCCTGTGTGTCCCAGACAGCTAGGAAGCTGCCCACGGAGCATGAAGGGGAACGGGGAGTAGCGGGGAAGGCATCTAGGGAAGGTCCGGGCTGCCCTGACTCTCAAAGAGTCACCGACCTTGGTGGATGTGGATATCAAGCGCCAATCCCAGTTCTGCGTACAAGGGCTCTGCTCCAGGGATGAGTCTCGTCCACTCTCAGTTTCCCAGTCTGTAAAACAAAGGAATGCGAGAGGGGAGACTCGCTCTTCTGAAGGTTATAGTTTTAGGTGTGAACAGGCAGACAGGAGAGCTTAGTGAGGGGAAGGGCAGGCTGCGAGGTCAGAGTGCTTGAGACCCAGGGCTTCCACTCACTAGCTGTGAGTCTGCGAGCAAGTTATCTGGGTTCCTTGAGCCTCAGCTTCCTCATCTGTAAAATGGGGATAACAGCAGAACCTACCTCAGAGAGTCAGCCGGAAGGTGAGAGGGAATAATGGGGAAATAATAGTACACACCGAACAATTGTTAGCGGTTCCTTTATTTTATGCAAAATCCCAATGTTCTCAGTTCTTAGTTTTTCCTAGTCATGCTATCCTGAAGGGGGAAGATTGAGGACTAGAAAGGCATGGGTTTTGGAGCAAGAGAGAGCCAACTTCTAAAGAGGGTCCTGCCTCCCACCAACCGTGGGACCTTGGGATGTGGGACCCATCAACACTCAGAGCCTGTGTCCTCATCCGTAGAAGGGAAGAGAACTCACTCTGGGGGAATGCTGGATTTTAAAGGAGGTGCTGTCCTTGGTGCAAATAGAGATTCAATACTGATTTGTTTTCTTCCCTTGTACATAGGTTCATTGGCCATAATCATTACCCTAAAGGGCTATGGGAAAGAAATTGTGTTTATGTACAGCAGACTAAAACAAGATTACACTCCTCTGAATATCAGGATTTTCTTCCCACATGCTTTAAAAAAAAAAAAAAATCTCTATTAAATAGATTTGTAAGTAGGCAGATACTGGTGAGGAAGTCTTTGTCTGCAGATACAGCTACTCTCTCAGACAGTTCCTCCCAGAAACACCCCAAATACTGTAATGGAGGAGAGTTTTTATTATTTTTTTTAAATTTTTATTAATCTGACAGACACAGATCACAAGTAGGCAGAGAGAAGAGGAAGCAGGCTCCCCGCTGAGCAGAGAGCCCAATGCGGGGCTTAATCCTAGGACCCTGGGATCATGACCTGAGCCAAAGGCAGAGGCTTTAACCCACTGAGCCACCCAGGCATCCCTGAAGGAGAGTTTTTAAATAAAACAACAGAGCTTCCTTTATAGGGACCGGCCTAAAGCCCACGGTACAGCTGAGCCTTATTTGGTTCAATCAGTAGAATACATGTCCAAGTTGCTGATGCCTATTTGGAGTTTATTTTTTTAAAAAATGCGATAAGTTTTATATTTAAATCCATCATGTAACTTCAAAAAAATAAGGAGAAGGGAGTGTGGGGTAGTGGTGTAGAAGATAGATAGATGTCGGAGGGGTCTATAGTGTGAGTTCCCACTGTACCCATTCCCGATGGTGGCATTAGGCTAGGAAAAGTGAAGATCCCATTAGAGAGGAGATGCAGGGATATCTGGTTATCTGTCCATCCTCCTGCCGAAGCTGCAGGCCTCCTACTGGCAGAGGCAGCCCACCTGAGAAACAGCAGGGAAGGAAGAAGGGAGCGAGGACCGAGGCAGGGACCCAGAGGTAAGCAGGCTGTTCCTGGGCCCCTTAAAGAATGTGACCCAGCCTCCCCACAGAAGGGCTACAGTGAGAAGTCTGTCTCCCACATGCTCCTCTCCTCTCGCAGTCACAGGCTAATCCCTGTCCTGGTAGCCAGTCTTCCCCACAGGAAAACGGCCTCCTCTCAACTGATGGTTACTCCTCCTCTCCCAGAGCAAGTCCGGAAAACCTGACCTCCTCTCCCAGCCCCACGTTACACCTGCTCACGTGGCCCTTGGCAGATCCCTCTCTCAGTGCCTCGCTTCCCTGGTGGTAAACACAAGAGTGATCTGTGTACCACAAAATAATTGTGGGGCACAAGGAAAATACTACATGTAAAATCATAGGGGGTCCAAGGCTGAGAAGCGGGGAACCACTAGGCACTCCTACACGTGGTTCTCCCCTGAGGCCTGAGATGACAGTGAAAGGCACATCCGTGATTTCCAGGAACCACACCTGGCTCCTCAGGTGACAAGGACAGAACTTCTGGGGGTCTGTCTCTTGGTTCAAGGAGGCTGACCTTTAGGGATGGAATCCTGTGTTCCTTTAAAGAAGGATGAAATCCATTCGCAGCAACATGGATGGAACTGGAGGGTATTACGCTAAGTGAAATTAGTCAGTCAGAGAAGGACAATGACCATGTACTTTCACTCACAGGTGGAATTTAAGAAACAAAAGAGTTGAACCTAGGGGAAGGGAAGGAAAAATAAAATAAGGTGAAAAGAGAGGGAGAGACGCCATAAGAGACTCTTAACTCTAGGGAACAAAGTGAGGGCTGCTGGAGGGGAAGGGGTCGGGGCATGGGGTTACGGGGTGATGGGCATTAAGGAGGGTACATAAGGTAATGAGCACTGGGTGTTACATGCAACCAATGAATCACTGAATTATACCCCTGACACTAGTAATGCAGTAAATGTGGACTAACTTGAATTTCAATAAAATCTAAAAAAAATAAAAATTAAAAAATAAGATAAATAAAATAAAATAAAGGAAGAAATGCAGAGCAAGAGCCAGAGCCAGAGTGAGGATGTGTGCTGGGTGCCTGGGGAGCGGCTGGGATGGGGACGGGACAGGCGGGCAGTGAGCCAGGTGGAGAGGCACAGGGCTGAGCAAACAGCCTTTACCCCTTCTGGGCCTGGGAGCCTGTTGTCCTGGGAGGGAGCAGTGTATCCCCCTGTGCAGGAGTGCCTGGAAGAGGGGGAGAAGGAAAGTTCCCCAAACCCCTTACCATGAAAGCTATGGGGAGACATGCGTTTACACCGTAAGCCTGGGAACGTGACAGGACCACCGGTGACAATGCAGGCCGCAGAGATACAGCTTCTGGGGTAACTTACTCTTCCTGTGCTCTGTGGGTTCTGGGACTTCCTCTCCTCTTCTGTTTCCTTCTGCCCTGGCCTTCTCCCTCCTCCCTCCCTGCCCTCCTTTCTGCCTGCCTTTCTTTTTATACTTTCCTTCTTGCTACCCTGTGACCAGCAAAGTTGATTTCGAAATGCAGGGAGGACCTCCACTTGCCCTTGGTAAATGAAGCACAGGGAACCGCTGAAAAGGAGGCCATCTCCTCCTCCCCCATTTCCTCCCCCACTTCTCCCTCCTCCTCCCCCACCTCCTTCCCCATCTCCTCCCCCTCCTCCCCATCTCCTCCTCCCCTATCTCCTCCCACCCCTTATCATCTCTTCCTCCCCTCCCCATCTCCTCCCTCTCCTATCTCCTCCCTCTCCTCCCCCATCTCCTCTTTGTATTCCTCCTCCTCCTCGCCTCCTTATCTTTCTCCTTTCTCCTCTGTAAAATTAAAAAAAAAAAAAAAAAAGTCCAGGGATACTAAGAACAACAAAATCAATTTCACCACCTTTTCAGACTATAAGAATCACCAGGAAGCTGGTTGGTGTTACTGCCCCCGGGCCTCACATCCATAGGTTCTGATGGGTAAAGTCCACCATGAGCCTGGTGGTCTGTGTAATTCAGCGGTCAGGCTGGTCCGGGATTCCCTCACCAAGGCCAACGCTCTTACCTTGCTGGTGAGGAACTGGGGCCTAGGGAGGGCCAACGCCTTGCTGGAGGTCATACAGTAGGCCGGCTTAGGGGGCAGGATGTCACAGCCAGACTCGGGACAAGGACCCACACTGCGTCTTCCAGCAGCACCAGGAAGGGCCTGGGACTGAGCAGTCAGAGACACGTCCCACAGCACATTACAGCTGGGACTGCATGGGACCCACCTTGCTGCATGGCTCGCCTTCCTGTCAGAGGCTTCAGCCCCAGCTTGGGGCCCATTTATCCCTAAAACAAGGCAAAGCTCAGTTATATCTACCTGCTGTCCAGGGCTGGTGTTAAGTGAGGCCTGAGGTTTGTGGGGAGGAGGAGGAATGAATCACCTCCGGCCACTCACTGTCACTTGGTTCTCTCTGTGGGTGTGAGAGTGGGGGCCGGCTCTGAAGGTTTGCTTCCACCCCCGTGCCCCGTCCACCAGCAGCGCTCCCAGCCAGCCTGGCAGGCTTTCTCTGTGGCCTGCCCGAACAGGAGGGTGCCAGCAGCCCCTGTTTTGCCACATGCTGGCCTCAGGGGGGGGGGGAGGGGGGGCCCTGCTCCGCATTCTGTCACCTCTCTGCTCCTCCTCTGTAGGGCCTGCGGTTTGACATTTCCTTCCTTAGCCAGTTCGAGCCCCAGAAGCCTCCAGCCTGGCTGCTAAAGATACTGGTGAGAAGGCCACCGCAGGGTGGAGGAGGTCTTCCCAGGATCAAAGCAGCTTTGCGAGCTGGTCAGAACCCACTGAGCTCTTTTGGAAGGGCCTCTGATGGGCGGCCCCGCCCCCTTCCCCTGGGTCACAGCTGAAATGTCATTCCGGAGCTGAGGCCCCAGGCCCATTGCACTGCTTTTCCATCGCAACCTTGCCCTACCCACAGGTTCCAGCCCCCCTGCCCGGCCCCCACCTCCATCGCCTGTATATGGGCACAACCCTCAGCTAGAATTTCACTTCCTGCAATGTTCATTGTTTGTCTCTTTCCACTCGCATGAAAGCTCCCTGAGCTCAGCGGCCTCTGCGTGGTTCACAGAGGCACTCGGATCACTGGGCAGAGTTCCCAGCACCTTGAAGGCCCTCAGGGCACCCCGTGGAGTGAAGGCCTGTCTATGTGGGAGGGGCTTCTTCAGCCACCAGGGCCTGACCCTGGCTCGGCCAAGCTGTGGCCACCAGCAGGGCTCCCTCGGTGGCTCTGAAGGATCTGTTGCATCCCACATGGCCGAGGAGGGAGGAGAGGGACTGCCTCAGCTTCTCAAAGTAATCGCTTAAAGGAGACAAGAGAAGTGTGTCACAAGGGCTCTGGTGTTGTGATCAGAAGGCCAATGCCAAGTCTCCTCTCCTGCTTTTTTTTTTTTTAAAGATTTTATTTATTTATTTGACAGAGAGAGATCACAAGCAGGCAGAGAGGCAGGCAGAGAGAGAGAGAGAGGGAAGCAGGCTTCCCGCTGAGCAGAGAGCCCGATATGGGGCTCGATCCCAGGACCCTGAGATCATGACCCGAGCCGAAGGCAGCGGCTCCCCCCCCTCCCCCCCCCCCCCCCCCCCCCCCCCACCGCTCCTGCTTTACAGCCACTGCCCAGTCTGGGCCATGTGAAATCCCCGCGGCCACAGCACAGGGGAGGACTAAACCTTCCCCTCTTTCCTTCTCCATCCCCATAAGTCCCCAGTGTGTTTATAAAACGTACCCCATTCTACGGAGGGAGCAGGGCTCTGAGCAGCCATCAGCCACTTCCTGGAACCAGAGAGAAGGGGAGCTAGGGGAGTGATGAGGGAAGCAGCAACTAGTGGATGCTCAGGACCACATTTGCTAACTTAGCAAGTTTGTTTTAGGCCAAACTTGTTACCTCGTGATGGTCACTTCCCTGAAGGAATGTAGGTCTTGGTTCATTCTCAGATGAGCCACAGGCTCACTGGCCTCAGCTCTTGGGGAGCTCGTAGCAGAGAGGAAACTGACATGAGGCCGCAGTGTGTTGAAAATAGCCTACCCTGGTAATGAGGGAGCCTGGCTTCGGCGGAGGGGGGCTTTATCACTAGCCCACCCTGTGAGTCTCTGTGGCCTCATCTATTAAATGATATTGGTTTCGATCATCTTTGAGGCTCCTCCCAGCTGCCTTCAAATCTCTAGGAAGTACTGAGTCCATGTTCTCTTGGTCTGAGGGCTCCCTTGGTCTCATCGGTGGGCACTAAGGAGGGCTAGAATCTCCTGTCCTGGAGCCCCGAGAGACCCCGTGGATTGGACCTTTACTGCTAGGGTGTGCTTGAGGGGCAGTCCTTCTCCTGAAGGCCCTCCCTGTTCTGGGGTTTGAGCATTTGGTAGCTCACAACACCCGAGGACTGAGAGTATCACCAAGTATCTCCAAGTGCTAGCCAAGGTTGGCCTCAGGACATGGGTGAATCAAGGAGTCTCCCACTCTTCAGGATGTGTCCTGACTGAAAATGTTCCTCCAAATTTTATAAAAAAAAAAAAAAAAAATCCATGTCACTGAGGAGGAGGCAGAGGGGGATGGGGGAATGAAAGAAGATACAGACCAAAGAACAGCTCAGCAGAGCTCTTGTCAAGCTCTGCGACAAGCTCTGGTTCCTCTAGGTTTCTGAGATGGACTGAGGGTTCCTGGAAGCCTGACATCCCCACAGGGACGTTAAACCAAGAGTCAGGGGATCTCAGCTCCAGGAGCAGTAAGACAATAAAATACACAGTGGTCATATCCAGGTTGTAGGACTCCAGAATTTCAGAGAAGGGGAGCCGGGGGAGAGCTGACAGGTCTGACCCTTCACAGAGGGTCTTTGAACTTCACTGAGGAGGCTGAGCAAGCACAGAGGACCTGTTGGGCAGGAGTGGGGACTGGCGAGGGGATGAAGGTGGGAGGATATGAGGAGCAGAGGCCCCGTGGAGGCTGGTCAGTGTTGGCCCGGTGCTCAAGGTTATGCAGATGAGGGAACTCCAGGGCTAATGAGAAGGTTGGACTGGGGGAGAGATGATGGTTTTGTCACCTTGGCTGTCTTTTACCTTGTAGGATTCTCAGTAAATTAAGTCAAGAAATCAACAAGAATGAAGAGAGAAGGAGCATCTTCACACGCAAGTGAGTGGGGGAGCCAATATTCCAGTAACGCTGTAATGAAACCCAAAGAATTTTCAAACCCAAGTTGAACCTTCAAAGGGAAGCACAAGATAGTTTCACCCCAGTTTTTGACCTGCAGCCCTCCTCTAGCCCCAGGGTCTTGAAGCTGGTGCCAAGGAGGGGAGAGGGAGTTCCTTTTCTCTGTCCTGCATCCTCTTCATGGGTCTGTGGGCTCAGGGGAACTTCCCTTAGAGTCAGGCAATCATGAGCTCCCAGCTATGCCACCGATGTGACTTTGATAGTTTCCAGAATTTTGGGGCAGCCTGGCCCAGGTTGCTGAACAACAAGGACACCAGTCCTCAATGGTGAGATATACCCCCCTACTGGGGTCTCCTCGTGTAGGGCAGGATGGAAGAAAGAGGGAGAGACCCCTCAGCCAGTAGCAACATTAATGCAACGCTGTTTGCCTTTGCAGACCCCAAGTCCAGCGGTTTCCTGAAGAGACAGGTAAAAGTGTCAGGGGTGGGAGTGATTGCTTTTGGCGACGACAGATACTTTGGTTCTTCTGTATGCCAGTTCCTGGGGCTCCTGGGGTGTTATACAGGTGACCTTACTCATTTGCCTGTCAGGCAGTTCTTTCCCAGAGAGAGGTTTGGCTCCAGGCTGAGAGCAAAAGAGGTGTTACTATGCAGGGTGCCTGGTTTATGGCCACAGCTTCATTGGGAGCCTCTATAGATCTGAAATGAAGAACTCTGGGGGGAAACATGGAAGGACCCAGGCTTAGACTGAGCACCTGAGTAAAGCCAGTGTCCCTCCATCTGGGTCTTTAAAACTTTAAAGAAACTGTAGGGATAGGTCCCCTGTGTCTGTGTATTTTAAAGCCCTCTTGGGGGACTGTTCTGTGGTGAAAGGTTGGGAATCACCACTGCCTTCTGGTAGCATGAGCTGCTCAGGTGGAAATTCTAGAGCTGATGCTAAACCAGCCCCCAGGTATGAGAAAGCTCGGGTGAAGGCCTGGGATGGACAGTGGTGTGGGGGCACAGCAGATGGGGTGCTGCTTTGACTTTCCTTCTAGAGGCTCATTTTGGCACTGACAATGGTGTTATCTTCTTCTGCAGAAAGCCACGAAGAGGACAATGGGGGCTGGTCTTCCTTTGTGAGTATGGCATGGGTTTTCCTACCCTTATAGAGCTTTGCATAGCACCTTTGTAATAAGGAACTAGCATGATGCCAAATGGAGCTAGTCTTCTAACAAGATGCCAGTATTACCCTCCCCTGGGCGTCATAAGATGTGTTCTGTAAAGGCCAGATAGTAAATATTTCCAGCTTTGCCATCCACACGGCCTCCAGTTCATCTGTTCACCTCTGCTCCTATAGCACAAATGTAGCCATAGATGGCAGCTGAACAATTGTGCTTGGCCGTGTGCCAATAAACCTTTATTTACAAAAACAGATGGTGGGCCGGATTTGGCCCATGGGTTAGAGTTTTCAGATCGCATTATTATTCACTGTTATCACCCCCCATAGCAGGACCTTTCCAAACTCCCTCCTCTAGATGGGATACACTAAAGTAGCTTAAAATAGCTTTTTCCATAGACTTAAGACCTCACTGGTGACACAGTAGCAAAGAGATTTCAGAATCAACTATTAGCCCTGAAAAGACTTCGGGGAAAGCCCAGTCCAATTGGGTTTTATGTTGGAGGGGTCACAATGACCCCTTTGAGAATCTGATGAACTCTGGGTAACCTCTCCCCAGAAGACTGCTTCCGCGGTCATTATGCTGGACTCTGGCTAAGAAACTCGATTATGGCTAGGAGCCCAGTGTGCTCATTTTACAGATGAAGCAGCTGAGCCCAGTGGAGAATGGGACTGACACAGAGACACACAGCTAGTTAGATGCCAGCCTGGGGCCCAGGTGGCCCGATCCTCAGCCTAGTGGTCTTTCTGGTAAGCAGTTGCCTCAGTGCCTTTAGGAAGCTGGTAAAACATGCCTTGTCCTATTGGGATTCTGATAAAAGGAAGCATTACGTTTGAAAAATGCTCACCAAGTCTCTACTTTCTCTAAGAAGACAAAAGAATTGGCAAGATTTATTTTGGCATCTTTGCCACTGCAAAGGGCCATGTGGTCCCTCCTTGCAGTAGCCCAGCCTGAGACTAATGTCCTTCACGGTCTCCAGGGACATTGCTTTCCATTAGCCACTGCCTCTAGCACTCGTGGGTTCTGGTGCATGCCCAGCCCTGCACAGAGCTCTAGGTGGGCAGGGATGGAGACAAGCCCCCCAACCCTTTGAGCCTTTTATAGTATGGATAACACTTACACAGGGCAGAATATGACTAAGAGCAAATACATGCATGCAAATTTAGGAGTCAAATCACTGGGGAAGTGCACTGTTTGAGAAGTGGAGAGGAAAAGTCTCTTATTGAGAAAGGCTTCCAGGGTAAAAGGCTGGTGGAAGGTGGAACAGTGGGGCCTGGGTATGTAGGTTGAGACAATCTAGGGATTCCCTTGTCAGTCAAGGGCAGTCACTGGGGCTACTAGGGAGAGAGGTGGAGACTACTATTCCCAAGGCCTCTGATTCAGGGGTTCCATCCCCTGCTCTCAAGTTATAGGACCACAGAAGAAAAGACCGTCTTTTTTTTTTTTTTTTAATAAGATTATCATTCTTCTTCTTCTTCTTCTTTTTTTTTTTTTCCAAAAATTTCATTTATTTATTTGACAGAGAAAGAGAGAGAGAGATCACAAGTAGGCAGAGCAGCAGGCAAAGGGAGAGGGAGAAGCTGGCTCCCCACTAAGCAGAGAGCCTGATGTGGGACTCAATCCCAGGACCCTGGGATCATGACCTGAGCTGAAGGCAGATGCTTAACTGACTGAGTCACTCAGTCACCCATGAAGTCTTTCTTAGAGTTCAGGAAGACACTCAACCTTACTTTGCCTTCGATATTTTAAAAAATATACCTCAAATCAAACCTGAACACAGGAATCTTTCAACTGAACAACTTAGGCAGTCTTTCTTAAGTCACCTAGCCAAGCTGTGAGGATTTCTAGGCTACTGGTACATACCTTTCCTCATCAAGATACAACCTCCCACAGCTTCTTTCCATACTGCCCTTGACTTTAGAGAACCGCCCTGGACTCCCCTATTACCCACTGAACTTCGGCACGAGAGTGCTCAGGTGCTCGTCCCCCGCTGCGGCTGATGGTGCCACTCTGCCGGGGAAACCATTACTATGACTGTCCACTTTCACGAGCAGCCTCAAAGGCATTTGCTCAGTCCCCAGGGCTCGCTTTCCCCGAGACCTACAAAGGAGCACACACAAAACACAACACAACGTTTAAAATTTAGAAAGAGAGTCTCTTCTCAAAAAAGCAGCTTTAAACTCAGTGTCAGACGTCGTGAATAATAAGCTGCTGTTTCTCCACACTCCGTTCTCAGCAAAAAGAATCGCACAGCCTTGACTCTCCCCTCTCAGACACAATTTAATCTGCCTTCTAATGAGCAGGCTTTGGTTATCTGGTTTCCCCATTAGCATGGCCTTCCACACTCACTGGGTTGTAATGAGAAGAAGGTTTTGAGCACCGGCACGCCAAGAAGAGAGCAATTAACTAGCAGGATCACAAATACTTCAGGCGTTTAGCCTCCCTCTTGGCGATGCCCGGAATAAGAAACATGTTTCCTCGACACAGAGCTGGCTCTCCCACCCCTCTGTTCCCATGCCCTCCTCATCTCTTCCACTATTCTCTCTTGTGCCTAAAAAGTGTAGACGAAAATGTACTGGCCTCTTGGCCTAAAGGCCTTGATGGAGGTTCCAAGTCCACGACTCACAGGCTCTGGGATCTTGCACTCCCCAACCTCAGTGTCCTCATCTGTGAAATGGGAACTGCTGCCGCCTCCCACGCCAGGACCGTCACGAGGCTTGGCAGAGAGAGAATCGCTGAGGGCAGGCGCCTGGGTGCCACGGGGCCTCCACAAACCAGTCTGTCCCCGTCACTGTGTTGGCAGGAAGAAGATGACTATGAGAGCCCCACAGACGATCAGAACGAGGATGACAACGACGACTACGAGTCTCCCAACGAGGAGGAAGAGGCGCCCGCGGAAGATGACGCGGATTACGAGCCGCCGCCCTCCAACGACGAGGAGGCCCTGCAGAACTCTATCCTGCCTGCCAAGCCTTTCCCCAACTCCAACTCCACCTACATCGGTAAGGCCCTGGCTGCCCGCGCCCGCCGAGCTGACCCGCACGAGGCCCGCGCCCACGCGGTGCAAAGGGGTCCGTGGACGCTGGCTCAGCTGCCTCCTGACTCTGTGGCTTTGGGCAGGTGACTCCCCCTCTCTGGGCCTCAGTTTCCTCATCTATAAAATAGGATAATAAAACGTAGCCCACAGGGGTTTGCTGGGAGGATGAGAACCGTTGCTGACAAATCACGGCCTGTGGTCGCTGATACCGACGCTGAGCTGCCATTTCCGGGTATTTTCTGGCAATAACTCACTTTGTGCAGGGCTTAGGGACTCGAGAGTAGCTTCCTATTCCTCCCCGTCTTTCGGCCAACTTGTAGTTCCATGGCATTTCCACTCACAAACGGCTATGGCTACGGTCAATGTAACAGTGTGAAGGGGCTTTGACCATCACTTGAGAAAATGGAAACAATATTTAAGCTTTTTATTGTCAGTCTGTTCCTACCAGGCTGTTTTTCCCTTCTTCATTTATCCATTCAGCAACGATGACTGGTGTCCTCTTGCGAGCCAGGCAGCATCCTAAATGGCGAAATGTGGAATTATTAGGAAGGAAGACATAGGCCTTGCCTCGTGGGTCTTACAGGCTAGGACTGGTGATGGCAGAAAGGGGGCTTCTGCACACTTGCCCAGCAGAGTGTCACAGAGTCAGCTAGAAAGTTGATGATCTAGACTCTGAACCGATGGATACCCCTCTTCCCTTCTGCTGTACGACGCTTTTGCCATGTGAAAGCTGTTTCACAAACACTGTGTCAGCATTTCGTTCTGTGTTTTTAAGCACACTGTATGACACAGAGAAGAAGGATCAAGCCTGTTTCATACACATTCTCTGGATGCCCAGAGAAGACATGGATAGTTAAGTCATTGAGTGCCTCGTATGTGCCAGTTATGGAGACACAGAGTAGAGACAGTCCTCACCGCAAAGATTTCACAGTCTAGTGGGTGGGGTAACATCAGATGCAATCAACACAAATGATTTAAACCATGATCTATGGAAGACAAGTGCAGGTGATAAGGCTGAGACATACGCCTGATCTGGCCTTGCTTCCCTTAAGACATGAGATTTAAGTTTCAACTTCACAGATGGCTGGGAGTTGGCTATGGAGTGGGGGTGGGGATATGGGAAGTGAGGGTGGATATTTTCCACAGTACGAATGGCCGAAAGGCTCTGAGGCTCGAAGGAGCATAGTATGTCAGGCAAGCTGAGAGCTGGCCTGTGTGGGTGGAGTAGCATCAGATTAGACCGGGCTTGCCCAAGTTCTGAGCCCCACTTGCTGTGGAAGAGCAATCCCTCTCCAAGGCTGGGACTAGGGTGAGGCAACAGAGGCATCTGGGGCACAGAATGTAAGGACGTCCTCAGTGACAGTCCTGGCCTGCCTTTCTCCCCGTCACAGGGATGGGACATTGCTAGCTTATCAACTTGGCCTGGGGATCCTTCAGTGGGATCAGAACACTGTGAATCCCTGTCCAAAGCAAGTCCAAGAAACCAGTTAAGATCTGTGAATTTGAGCCTCCTGGCTGGCTCAGTCAGCAGAGCCTGTGATTGAAAAAAATCTGTGATTCGGCAGCAGGAGTTGGTTACCAGCCCTCCCCCTTAAGGGAAGAGACAACAAAAAGAGGAAGTGGGAAGGAGAGGTCAGCCCAGAGCATTTGTGAGGGGAAAGAAGGGGACCCATGACCTGAGCCATGAAGGCCTAGTTAACCCGGGCCCGTGTGTGTGTGTGTGTGTGTGTGTGTGTGTGTGTGAGAGAGAGAGAGAGAGAGAGTCTGTGAGACCCAGTCTGGCCTTGGCTCTGGTGAGGGTCTGTGGGATGGGATGCCCCCTCCCCCCAGCACACTGATGCTTAGAACCCGGCAGGGGTCTGCCCGTCCTGGACAACTTACCCTGCTTTGGTGTGGCATTTCTGCTTTCATTTCACTACCCTACTGCTCTTGCCCTTCCGCAGACCGACCCCCCTCCAGCAAAGCCTCGCAGCAGCCGCCCGTGCCTCCACAGAGACCAATGGCTGGGCTCCCTCCTCCGCCCGCAGGCCGGAGTCACCCGGTAGGCCTCCTTGCTTTCTTCCTTGGTGCTATGTCCACTTTGATCCCTCCTTTGCCAGAGAGAAGACTCTACATATATTTATCCAATGGTGACTAGTAAGAAAAGATTGTATATAGGCTGGGAACATGCAAGCCCAGGCACTTGCAGTGGTAGGGGGTGGGGTTTGGGGGTGACATGCTAGTGATTTTTACTTAGGTCGTAGGGCCTATCACCGGCATTTTCTTTTTACCCAAAACAATGTAACCTACTTCAATAATGAAGTATTGCTATTATTTCCCAGCTTTGAAATTAATAAAAACTGTGAAATAAACTCAAGGGACCAAGGTCAGTAAGTCGCCCCCATCCCTGTCGCGTGGGTCCCTAGCACCTTCTCTAGCCTGTAAGACGTGCGCCACCTGCCGGCCAGAAGCGGAAATTCCGCGAGCCGTGGCTTGAGCCCCGGAGGCTTACAATGCGGGGAACCCAGTGGGAGAGAGACAGGCAGCAAACCGCCTCTCCTCTTTCTTCAAGCTGACAGCTTCAGGTCCTGTGAGTCCAGTTAAGTACCCAGAGAGACCCCGAGAAATTCAGGCTAATATGTTAATAGCTGGAAATGTGTTTTCTTCGTAAGGGATCGGAGCACTTTAACAGCGGTGGCAATTGCCAAAATGTCAGGGTTGGAAGGAACGTTGTTTTCCCCAAATCTCAAAATGCAGACCACACCACAGTTAGGACCTTTCATCTAAGCATATATGGCTTTCTCCTGCTTGTGCAGTTTTCTTGCAAAGGGGCTCAGGGAGCCGAATTGATCTACAAAGCATTTTGCTTTGAAAACTGAAGGCCTCCACCTCCATTACTGGGATGCAGAATTCACTCATTCCGTCAACAGATCGCTATTGGCCACTACTGTGTGCCAAGCAGTGTTCTAGCTGCTGGGACTAGAGCACGGACAAGACGAATAAGGTCCCTGCTTTTATAACACTTCAATTTTGGTCAGGGGGAGACAGATACTAAACAAGTAAGTAGATGTATGCAAAAGACAATTTGAGCAGTTATGTGTGGTTAGGGAGACAGAAAACCCAGTAACACGATAATGGGTGGGAAGGTGACATTGAGCTGAACAGAATGGGCCAGTTGTGACAGGAGCTGGGGAAGGAACATTCTAGGCAGAGGGAAACACAATCACTGAGATGAGAAGTAGGGCATGAGCTTGAGATCTTGCAGGAACTGTAAGAAGACATTTGGAGTGGGAGCCCAGTAGGCACTGGAGAGAGGAGTCTAAGAAGTTGGAACGGTGGACACATGACGAGTTTTTACTATGTTCCTATGTGGTAGGGGCCGCTCGAGGGCTTGGCAGGCGACTGACTTGCTCATTTCCCTGCCATGCAGATAATACCCTGGATGGAAGGGTATGGGATGGGGGAACTCAGGTAAGAGGTTATTGTCCAGGAGAGAAATGACAGGAAAGTGAACAGAGTCAGACAGATTGGGGGCATTAAAGCCATAGGACTTGTAGATGTATCCTAATGAGATGCTGCCTAATGTGGATCTTTTTTAAACAGCCACTCCCCCCACCCCAACCAAACCATGAAGAGCCTAGCAGAAGTAGAAACCATAAGACAGCAAAACGTAAGTATGGGGACTGCCCTCCCTTGCCCTCCAGCACACCTGTCCCCTCAGCCCCAGCCAACGCTTTATTCTTGAAATTGACTTCCGTCTTTTTCCCTTCCAGTTCCTGCTCCTTCCATAGACAGAAGCACGAAACCTCCCCTCGATCGTTCATTAGCCCCATTTGACAGAGAGCCCTTCACACTAGGTTGGTATCTATTTGATGCATAGTGACAGCAGCCAATATTTATAGAGTGCTTACGGCATGAATTTCACATGCACCACCACAATGTAGGACTATTGGCATCATCCTCATTTCAGAGATGAGGCAACTGAGGCCCAAAGAGATAACTTTCCCAGATGACTCAGCTACCCAGTGATGGGGGTAGAGACTCAACCTGAGATCAGATGGACTGCAGAACTCCAGCTGTCAGCCCTATGCTGGGGCTGCCTCTTCATGGGGGCCGGGTGTACCCACATCTCATCGTCCTCCGGGAGGCTGGGCAGAGACCGGATGTCTGGGAGAGCTGTTGTCAGCTGTCTCGGCTGCTACTGACCAGCTTACTGACTGCAGGGACCGCATGTGTTCAGAGTCGTCTCCTTATTTGTAAGGCAGCAGTTCTGTAGGGAGAAGACGCCTGATAAAACTCCAAGGTGCTATTCAAATGTCAGGGTTGTTTATTGTTGTCATGAGCAGTTGATCAAACTGTGGGTATCCTATAGTCCCTTCCCCCCCAGAATCAGCCCAGAGTGTTCTTAGAGTGTGGCCACCCGTCTATAAAGCTATTTCCAATTCAATTCTAAAACTTAGCAACCGTTTATTGAGCACCCCTCCGGGGTCAGTACTTTACCTACCAAAAATAATTTACCTACATTATCCTCACAACGATCCAATGAAGGGAGTGAATTATTCCTCCCGTTTTGCAGACCATGAAGCTGAAGTTGACAGAAGTTGAAGAACTCTCTCACATTTGCATAACTCACTGTTGGATTTGAACCCAGGTCTTTCTGACTTTAAAGTGGGTGCTCTTTTTCCAGTGACATCGTGTTATAGTCAGAGACCCTGGATCTTCCTTGCTCTGGGGTAGGGAGTTCTGGGGAGGGGGCTAGGAGCCTTGTAGGAGAAGGGGCCCCGAATTTCGGCCACACCTAGCCTTCCTGACCAGCACTCTGAGCAAGGCAGTAGTCTCGGGTGGCGTCAGGTTCCTCTCTGTGTGCAAATGAACCTCAGTTCTTTTGCTTGCTGTGGTTTCCCCAACTGGACCACAGCTCTGATGACTCAGGCAAAGCTCTGTCAGCTGTTTTTGAATTCAGAATGGTCTGCTGCAGAGGGCTGTTCAAATTATGTGACAATGGAGACAGGGAGATTCAAGTTCAGATCCCAGACCTGCTTACTATCAGAAGCAGACATCAAATCCTTCAGAGTCACTTCTTGAACAAAAGTCTCCTCTTAAAAGATTTTTTTTATAAAAAATGATTTGTTTGTTTTTTTAAATTTTTTAAAGATTTTTATTTATTTACTGAGACAGAGAGAGAGAGAGAGTGAGAGAAGGAGAAAGAGCAGGGGGAGGAGCAGAGGGAGAAGCAGACTCCCCACTGAGGAGGGAGCCCAATGATGCGATGCGGGGCTCCATCCCAGGACCCCGGGATCATGACCTGAGACACCAGGGCTCCCCAAAGAACTGTTTATAAAGAGACCCTTTCTTGACAATACATACTCTTTTTTTTTTTTAAAGATTTTATTTATTTATTTGACAGAGAGAGAGAGATCACAAGGAGGCAGAGAGGCAGGCAGAGAGAGAGGGGGAAGCAGGCTCCCCGCTGAGCAGAGAACCCGATGTGGGGCTTGATCCCAGGACCCTGAGATCATGACCTGAGCTGAAGGCAGAGGCTTAACCCACTGAGCCACCCAGGCGCCCGACAATACATACTCTTGATTGCTTCCTTGTCCATGATGTTTTGAGAGTGGCTCTTAACAGGGCTCCTAACAGAGACTGTGCCCAGAGAATATGCATACATCAGAAGATTAAAAAAAAGAAAGAAAGAAAATCGACTTAAGCCTAAGAATATAAATCTAAATTTTCTGCGTAACCCTGTAAAGTAGGGTTTCCATCCTAAGCCAGAGTGTTATGAATAATAAACATTTCTTAGACCAACAAAACTGTCTCCCACTGGGCAGTGAGCTCTTCACAGTAGGACAGATTCTTAGGACCTGCCAGGAGCCTGGGCTGTACATCCTGCTGTGAAAATCCCATCATTCACCCTGGGGGATTAACTGCACAGAAGTATGGGAGAGACGGAGGGAAAGAGGAAGTATCTAGCAGTTGTCAGCACCCGTGGATCGTATGCCTGACCCTGCATATAAATTGTCACCGAATCCTTACAGCAAACCTATGCATTTTTAGGTTCTAATCCTCATTTTACAGGTAAGCAAATTGAGACTCAAAGAGCTTAAATGACTTGCTCGAAGAGCTGGTTAAATGCAGTTAAGTGGTACTTTTTATTGTATTGGAAACATAGGGCATATCTACGCGAAGGGACTTCGGACAGAATAAAAAATAAATTGCTTTGGGGCGCCTGGGTGGCTCAGGGGGTTGGGCCTCTGCCTTCGGCTCAGGTCGTGATCTTGGGGTCCTGGGATGGAGCCCCGCATCGGGCTCTCTGCTCGGCGGGAAGCCTGCTTCCCCCTCTCTCTCTGACTGCCTCTCTGCCTACTTGTGATCTCTCTCTCTCTCTGTCAAATAAATAAATGAATAAATACCTTTTAAAAAAATGGCTTTGACCAATTTGGCAATGCAGAGTTCTCAGGTACACCTAGCATTTCTTTAGGGAGCCTGCATGTCGTCTGTTCCAAGAAAAAAGTAAAAGCATGCAAGAAACCAAACCCAACCAAAATTAAGACAAAGTGGCTTGCACACCACCAGGAGGATCTCCCAAAATGCTCTTCCCCAAATTAAAAGTTTTTCCAGAAAGTAAGTGTAATACTTTATGTAATGTCCAATGTACCACGGGATTGGGGTAAAATTAACCCCTCCGGGGCAAATGGGTTTATTTCAGATAGAGGAAGAAACTTAGGTTATACAAAGGACTTCTTAGTCAATGAAAGAGGCACAAAATCCCAAGGAGACATTCATCCTTCTTATTATCAGTTGCATGAAATCAAAGGTTGAAAAGAAGCCCAGAATCCAGAACATTGTATGTATACAATTCTGTGTGGCCTTGGGCTAGTCACTTAATTTCTCTGAACCTGTAAAATTAGGGACTCTATGTGGGCCTCTCCCAGGTCTGAAGTCTATGATTCTCCAGTGCTCACACCCAGTCAGCCCCCTCAGGCCTGGGACTCAAGGGCTCGTCAAACTAGGCTTTAATACCTCCTGCTTATCCGATCAAGTATTCAAGGCCTGCCTGATGTTTGTCCTTTACAGGAAAGAAGCCACCATTTCCTGACAAGGTAAGTGCTCCCCTGGTTTGTTTTGGTTGTTTTTATTTTTGTTTTATTGTGGGTCTTGTCTTTATTCTTTGAAAAGTGTTGAGGACACTCACATCTCGTCCCTCCTGTCTTACAGCCCTCGGCCCCTGCCGGAAGGTAAGGTGCCCTGTTGTCTTTGTGTGAGGGAACATGGTACATGCCCCAGAGACACAGTAACATTTCTCACCCCTCCTTTCTCTCAACTCTGCAGGCCTCTCGGGGAGCATTTACCCAAGATGCAGAAGCCTCCTTTACCGCCAGCCACCGAAAGGCATGACAGGGGTAGCCCCCTGCCAGGGAAGAAGCCACCTGTGCCCAGGTAACTGTCTTCTGTTGCCTGAGTTCCTCATTTAGAGCGGTCACGCCAACAATCTGCCCAGCAGTAGCCTACAAGGAACCGAAAATTGTGGGTGGTTTTGCCCCTGGGGGTTGAGGAATTCTGGCTTCTCAGGTTGGATGTCAAGTCCTGGGTCCTTTTGAAGGGGATAGTGATCTAGCAAAGGAAGGAGTGGAGTGATGCTTCCTCAGGAGGATGGGAATGGCTGCTGTCTGTGGAGAACGTCTCCTCAGCCCATCGAACCCATGTTCGTGTTTTTCCTTTCATCTCAGTACATAGGAACAGTAACTGGCACGTCATTTTTCAAGACATGTAGCAGAGAGGACATAATTGGGAGAGGTTTTTAGGTCACTGTAAGCATCTTCTTCAATGTTCAGTCACATTTTATAATGGGAGAATACTGAAGACTGCTCTAATTTTTTATATTTACTGTGAAGTCTTTTGGGTTCTGTGTACCAAAAGCATACATGTATTGGGGGTCAGGCTCCACTGTACTCCTTACTCACTAAGAGCATAACCAAGGCTTCTGTTTTTTCTCATCAGTGTAATCAGGCTTCATAGCTCTGGCTTCTGGATTAAACGGGGGCCATGGCCAGAAGGCACCGGAAAAAAACCCTCAGTAATCAAGTTAATATTTGAATGGATTGTTTTAATGGAATCTTCTTAATAACCAAAATGAATGTAAAAAATACATAATGAACAAAATATCTGTATCTTAAATAAACACATGATAGGAGGATGGCAGGTGAAGCATCTGACAGATATCCCCCTGTCCAAGGAGAACCTGACGTGGGCCCAGACACACAGCTGCCTGCCAGAGCTCAAAGGCAGCTGTCACCAAATCTGCCTGACTAGATTGTGCAGCTGGGAAAAGTCCCAGAGCCGTGGCATTTTCCAGCTTCTTTCCCTTCACCCGAAGGGTGAGCCCCAAGATGGCTGTTTTAAGACATCAGCAAAGGAGAATATTACCTAAAATGTTTTCATTTGCTTGGAGAAACATCTACTCAGTGAAATTTAATAGCTACTAAAGAGTTAGTTTGCTGACTAAACCTTTTTTATATATATGTAATTATTTGCTGCAGTAGCTAAAAGAATAAGGGCTTGCCTAGCTCAGCTCTCAATGGTGACAGAACACTGAGTCACCAAACCCTCCCTCCATTCCTGCTCCCTGGCTTTTCTGCTGGGGTGTTTTTTGTTTGTTTGTTTTTTCCTCCTCCATTTTGACACAGCTCAGTGGGTTTGATTTCTCATTATTAGAGTAAGTGAAACTATCTGCATTCTGAGGCTGGCTCGTTGGAACTCTTCATGTTCAAGTCTTTTTCTTTGCCCTAATTCATTTCAGGCATGGATGGGGACAAGACAGAAGAGAGAACGTAAGTACAAAATGCCATCTGGTAAATGCTTGGCACAGGGAAATTTAGTGCAGGCTCTGCGAAGCTTGGGGCCATGCCTTTCTCAGACTTCACTGAAGACCAGCGTACAGACCAAGGAAGGCACACAGTAGGCTTCTAAATACTGGAGCCTGTTGGGGCCTCCATCTTTCCTCCTGTCCACAGTGAGGCATTGCTTAGCTCTGGTCCCTCTGAGAGCTCCCAGGGTGGCTGGATGAGTCCCAGCCCCATGGCCAGGTGGTAATTCACAGGGTAAAGTAACCATAGCTGGAGGGAAGGATAAAAGGAGGGAGGGATGCCCAAGAGTCTAGGCCTCGCAACAAAGTTTACAAGGCCTCTGTTTTCCCTTTTAATAACTTCATGACCTGAATAAGAGGGGGAATAGCAGTTATTGAATGCCTACTGTGTGCATGTTGGTGAGCTAGTGGCTTTTGGATGATGAGCTGTTTGCCTGGGGAGCAGCAATGAAAGTTTTAGGTCAGTTTTAGCAATGAAAATCTTATGTCCCAGAATCCCCATCAGTTTCAGGCAAACTGGGACTGGGGTAGTTGGTCACCCCAGCTTTACACGTTTTGCATTTAATGACCCTATGAAGAGTCATTGTTTTTTATTTTACTAAGAGGAAATCAAAGCTCAAAAGGGGTAAGAGACTCATCACAAGTTGCACAGCTACTGATTAGCCAGATAGGAATTCAGGTCTGTCTGGTTTCCTTTACACTATAAGCCCTCTGAAGGTGATCACACCCCTACCACTGTGTAAGGTCTTAGCCCACAAGTGCCTGCTGTCTTGTAGCTCTGTGGTAGATGCTGTGATGGTTCAGATACAGTGCTAGGATATGAAAGACAGGCAGACCCACACCCAACATTGTAAACAGCAAATGATCATGAAATGAGCTCTAGAGGTGGAGGCAAGAAAGTAATTGATGGGGCTTGAGGGGTCGGGGTTGACTTCTTAGAGGTGAGGTTTATGATGTCATTGAATGATGGGGAGGGCACAGAATAGAGTCATCCTAAAAAAAAATCCCGGGCGCATTCCTGCCTCAGGAATGTACACAGCAAAGGTAGGTGGGTGACAATTCCTGTTCACCCTATGGGGACAGTAGGGATAGCATTTTGGCTGCAGAGTCACAGGGACAAAGAGGAGACAAGGTGGAAAGTGAGGGAAACATTATACTCTTGAGGTTCCTAGTTTATGGAAGGATTGATGCTCATGTCATGAGAATCTGAGAGCTGTAGAAGGAAACATAACATGGTTGCTATGGGGTTGAAGAGGGATTTCACTGTGGGCTTCAGTGAGCCCATGTACATTTATCTATGCAGCACTTTGCTGGGACTCCCAGTTGGCCAACTGGGATGAACTATTCTGGCTATGACTCTTCTTATCTCAATGGTAGGACTAATGACAACTGACTTTCACTGAGCACTCCCCATATACCAGGCGCTTGTAATAACCAACACAGTCCTTGCAACAATATTTTGAATAAGGTGATCTTTCTTTGCTAGTGTGTTGGCCTATCAAAACATGTCCAAGTTGGCAGTTTTGGCCTTCTGGTCAATGGCAAAATCATTTTGCCTCTTGGAACATCATTTCTCACCTAAGGAGTACAGCAAATAGCTCCTCCCTTGCCTATTTCATAGGTTGCCTGGAGATAAATGTTAAGCAGTGTAGACACCTTGTAAACCACGTGGTCCATAAGGAAGGTGGAGTTGCTTTTAAGGGGCATGGCAGAAAGGAGCAGAGCCTTGGGCCAGACAAATTAGGGGCCTAATCCATTTCTGTAACCCTTGGCAAGTTAGGACTCCTTCCTGAGCACCACGTTTCCGTTTGTAAAATGAGGATGTTAAATTTTTAAAGGGTTGCTAGGAGAATGGGATAAGACATTGTGTATAAATCTTTGGGGCTCATAGTAGATACTGCCACTGTTATTGTGTCTTTTGGTCCTTTTGGGCACCTCAGAATCTTTTCTGAGAGTCTCAGATTGGAGTGTCCTTAAATGATTGTTTGTATTAAGAAATTGTGAACCTCTTAACAAGCTCTACTGTTCTCCACATTTGTATTTATTATGGAGATACACAACTGTTAAAGAGAGACATTTCTATGATTAAGAAATGCAATTCTTTTAGTAATTATGTTTTGATGATAGGCTAATACCTTTTTTTCTTTTCTTTTCTTTCCCTTACCAGGATGAAGATGATGGTATGTTCAGAAAAAGCTTTCTTACAACTTATAACTCATTCCTTCATTTTTCTGCTCGGGCTTTCACATAGAATTATTTAGTACAGAAACCCATGGGGTGCCTGGGTGGCTTAGTTTGTTGAGCATCTGCCTTCTGCTCAGGTCATGATCGTGGAGTCCTGGGATCAAGCCCAGAGCTTCTCCCTCTGCCCCTGCTCTTGCTTTCCCTCTATCTCAAATAAATAAATAAAATCTTAAAAAAAAAGAATAAATTATAGTTGTTAAATCAGTATTAAGTAGAAATATATCAGTTCATATACTGCATTATTTATCTGGGTTACCAAAGAGAACTGTTATGTTCATAAGTAATGGTGCAAATAATAGTACAGCAAAATTAAAAATTGCATACGTGGCTTGATAGAAAAATTTCTAGTATTTATACCTTCTAATACAGGAAAGGATCACTAACTGTAGATAAATGAGACAGCATAAAATTTGGCTTATGTAAAACAAAACTTGTGAAATTCATTTCTGAAATTCATATAGTTTCCAACTGACAATTTTCTGCCAAGAAAGCATTTCAAAAATAAAAAGATAAGATAAACGTATATTATAGAGAATGTTATGGAATGGCCACCCTAAGGTGGCAAACCATCTAGAAAAACCCTGGGGGTGGGGTTCCAGCCTAACACTTCATAATTACATTTGATCTTTTGACCAGCTGTTTTTAACTTATGGGGGAGCAGTTCTGGAAGGTTCCTGTGACACTTGGATCCTGACAATCTGTTTTATTTTTCCTTTCCCCCCACAGTGCATCAAAGACCTTTACCTCAGCCCACAATGCCTTCCATGAGCTCCAATACTTTCCCTTCCAGATCCACCAAGCCATCACCCAAGCACGCCCTCCCATCACCTCACATACCTGGAGCTTTCTCTGAAAGGTCTGTGGTAACGTTGTCTTTCAGTGCTAACTTAACATCACACCCAGGTCCATTGATAAGAACTCATGTTGGGTGGTTTGGGGAAGAAAGAAATGAGCCAGTGGTAGCCAGGTCAGAACATTTTGGGTCTTCAGAAACAAAATCAGGCTGGGCATAAACAACCACACGTGTTAATCTGCTGCTGCTCTTGGAGTCCTTGTGCTTGGGATTGGAAGGGTACAGAATTGACTGCCCCATGGTACCCCAGACAGAATGGATCCTGGAGCAGTAATGGAGAAAGCCTTCACTTTGTGAATTACACTCAAGAAACCCAATTAATTTAAGTACTTGGAGTTCATCCAGATCGAGGATGGGAGGACCTAGCAGATGCTGCAAATACACTCCATAGGCTCTGTCCCTAGTAGGCCCGCTTTCTCAACAGCAACAGCGTTTCTCAGCGCCCACAGAGAGGCCGTCTGGAGGCAGAGGCAGGAGCAGGAGAAACACACAGGCCATTTCTTCCTAAATAAGCCCTGGAGCTGCCCCTCATGTCCTCAGAGCCCCCAGGCCTTTATGTTCATTCTCTACTATGCAAAGGGAGATACCCAACCTTGGGTATGGGAGAAAACCACCAGCAAGACCTTGCTACTCCAGCTCGATATCTAGGAGTCTCGAAATTTTTCATTGTCCCTGTGTGCCTCTTGCTTTGATTTTCTGCTGTTTCTTCTCAATCTTCTCGCTGTTTTTCTTCTGCCATTTTCTTATTCTACTCCATCCCTCCCTGGGCTCCAACCCTGTCCTTCCTCGGTGCTGAAGACCACTCAGTGCCATTGCGGAGCAGAGCAGACTGACAGGGTTGTGACAAAGTTTTAGAATGTAAGTGAGGTTCGGTGGGGTGCAGTCTGGAGCTGATGACCAAGAAAGAATTCTTGAGACATCTTTGGTGCAGAATGGTGGTTTATTAAAGCATGGGGACAGGACCCATGGGCAGAAAGAGCTGCTGTGGGGGGAGGATGTGAGGAATGGTCCATTATATACTTGTAAGTTGGGAGGGGGTTAGGGATGGCGTAAGTCTCTAAGGAATTTTGGAAGCAAGGTTTCCAGGACCTTGAGGGGCTAGCTATTGTTGGGAAAAATGTTATTTATTACCAGTAATAAAACCTTTGTGTGAGACCCTTTAGATGTGTATCAGTGGGCCATATGCTTGGGAATGATTATCAACACATATCTTGGAGGGTTTAGAGATGAAGTTTCCAAAGGAATTGTTAAAGTAGACTTATAGCATCCTGGTTGGGGGGTAGGGGTCGGTCAGGCTAAGATTGCCCTTTGCCTTTAACAAAGCCTTGAGGTAGGGGTAATTTCCTAGAGGACTGTCATTCTGCCCGTTTCAAGGGCTTGTCAGTGGGTAAGGAAATTTAATAATTTTTCTTCTGCCTCTGTTTCCCACATCCGTTGGGCTAGTGGGTGGGGGAATGGCTGCTCAGCACGGAGCAAGCAACGCCTCCTCCCACCCACATCCCTGAAGATACTGTTTTTGTCTGTCCGGGCCACCTGGCCCTCTCTGGGTTTTTCATCCAGCCACCTCCCCCTCTGTGGACCATCAGGCCCCAGGATTCACTGTTCCCAAACGACATGCCCCTTCACATGTGCTCTTAACCAAAAGAAATGTCCTCTCCCCAGAGGACGTCTGCTATTCCCCAAACAAAAAGGCCGGCCTTAAATTGCAGCCAGCTCTTAAAAATAATCTTCCAATGCCTTTTATAGATTTTTATTGTTTCGGCTATCAGAGTCTATTAGCATTGGGGCTGACTAGCATCCCACTGACCTTGGGCAGGAGTGGGATGGGCCCTGTCAGCCCCTCCTCTTTGCTCAGCGCCAAGGCTTCAGGGAGGGGTGGTAGTAGTCACAAACGAAACAGCATTTTCAGTGGGTTTCCCTAGCCCAGCTTCCCCATCAGCCTCTTCAGCCCAACCCAGCGTAAATCTGTTCTTTTTCTGTCTCCGCAGTAATAGTGGTTTCCCGCAGAGTGCCTCCCTGCCACCATACTTCTCTCAAGGTTTGTACTCTGGGCTCTAATGACCACTGCAGGCAATATGCCTTGATGACTGGATTCCTAACCATCCCAAAGCCTTTTGGCGAAGGTCTGGTTATTTCCTAAAAGCCAGAAGATATGTTCTCTCATTCAATTATTTAACGCAGTTTCTGCCATGTGGCAGGGCTGTTGGAATGCTATGATGCTACTACATAAAACACACACACACACACACACACACACACACACACACACACACACACGGCCTCAGAAAGGTGGCCTTGGCCTTAATCTGTGCACAGAGAGCTCTTCCTCCCTGCTCTTTGTATTTGGAGCTCAGGATAGTGCCTGGCGTTCTCTGTAGTGTTAGGTTTCTATAATGAACCTATTCTTGAGTTGTGAGTTGAGGAACATGTTTAAAATACAAATTAGGAGAACCCAACCCTCCAGGATTCTGATTCAGTAAGTCTGGATGAGGACCTGCATTTTTAATTCCTTTTCTGGGTGTCCATGACAAGTATTTGCTGAGAGTGTTCTCAAACTTTATTATAAATACAGAATGTGTTAAAATTCTAATTCAGTGGGTCTGGGGTAGGATGTGAGAGTCTGCATTTCTAGCAAGTTCTTGTGTGATGCTGTTGACTAACCTGACTATGTAGTTAGGTTTCTTTCATTCAATAAACAGTATAAAGTACCTGCCATGTTGGACTGCAAAGGTAGGGATAGGGAAAATCTGTTTAGGCCTTAGGAGCCTTAAGAAGGCGTCTGAGCAGGTCAGGGCAGTCTGTTCTGCTTATCACCAGGGAACACCATGGTGAAGAACCCTGCTAGCTTGGCCCAGGAGACCTCAGTCCTTCCCAGGTAATTCTGGCTATGTGGCCTGGGGCGGCAGTTGGCCCCTTGGGGCATATTGTTGAGGGAGGGAACAACCCAGCAATGGAAACCACCTGGAGTGCTTATTAAATGCAGATTGGGTGATTCAAACCCCTCTCCCCCAGGGATTCTTACTTATGCAGAATAATGTTTGGGAATCACAGGTTCAAGTCCTGACCCAGCCACTAAGAGCACATGATTTGTTCAGGCTCTAGGAGCCTCTGTTCCCTCATTCTCCAAAGAAGATAATACACATCTTGCGGTGTTGCTGTGAGGATTAAAGGTAGGGTACAGGGGTGCCTCACTTAAGGCCTGGGCAGAGGAGCGCTGAATAAATATGTGTTGAACAATGAGTGAATGACACATGAATAATTCAGAGACCGTTCAGCTCACAGAATTTTTCAGTTCTTAACAGCCATCTGGCATATAGAAAACAACCTTGGCAATTACAAATCAACACAATCAATCCTCTGCTGAGATTGGGAAACATATTGTCAGACTCAGAAAGTTTCAGGGAACCGTAAACGAGACAGTAAGACGTTAGGGAAGGTGAGGCACAAACGCTGGGTAATTTATAGCTAACTCACAGACTTCCTGATGGATTAGGTTGTAGGGAGGGTCTTCTGTGAGAGTTGAACACTTCTACCCCTTTAGAAAATTCAATCCGGGATAGTAGGTCACAAACCCTAGTTCTAGAAGCTAACAATATCCTCAAGGTAATTTCACCTTGTCTTGGATAACTTACATTTCTTCTTATGTAAACAAATGAGGAGCTAATTCTCTTTATTATTGCATTGTCACCATATCAGTGGTTGGGAATCCATTTTGGTTGTGCTGGAGCCTATGAAAAATTGGTCTCTTGAATATTCTTTTTGAGAATCCCATTTAAACGACTGCGACTTTTTCATTAATGGACTAGTTATTTTATATTATGTGCCATACACATTTAAGAAATCATTCAAATTTGTGGAATTGTCCTCAAGCTTTCACAGACATGGCTACAGAATGATGCCTGAACAGTCAGCAACCCTTGTAGTTTTGAGCATGTGAACATTAATTTTGAAGCTATGGCTTCTAGAAATGTTAATTGCTGGGAACAATTGTAAGGACATTTAAGGGGGGAAATGTGTGATAATAGAAATGAAAAATAGCTTATAACAAGTTAACTTTCAAAATGCTATACTTTTGAAGGCCTTAACCACAGACCACCTCCTAGAGTCGAAGGAAGAAACTTCTCCTTGCCAGTTCCAAACAAACCTCGATCACTGGCTCCTGGCGAAGAAGAGGTAATTAAGCATATGTTTTTATTTTCTTTTTTTCCTAGCAAATAACCAGAACCTCCCATTTGATACTCCTTTGTATTTTATTATTATTTTAAGTTACCCTTAATTTTTTTAAGTGAATTAAAGGGAAGGGATCCAGGTGAAAAATATGTTCTTTTTTCTTAGTGTTTTTCAGACTCTTCTAATAGCACATGTGTGTTTTGCATTTAACAACGAGAAAAAAAAAACAACCTATTTTTCATTTGTTTTCTAGCTTATGACCTTGAATAAGTCACTTAACTGCTCATTAACCCAGATTTTTCATTAAGTATATTATACTAAACTGAGGAAATTATTACGTCTATCTTTCCTGATTAAAGCTTCCATTATATACGGAATGCTTATTCTCAACTACCTTTGCAAACAAAGTCATGATAAAGAGCGGTTCATGCAAAGTATCTTCTATTTAGCCCCACATAAGTGATTCCATATTCAAATTAAGAAAACAAATGTTTCAATGCTCATGGAATTGAGTTGGTGATTTATGAAAATGATTACTTGGAGGCTTTTCTTTTCACTTACATATGTAACTGCAAAATTTATTCAGTTTTTAAAAATTTACATTTTCAGAATTCATTAAATGAAGAGTGGTATGTTTCTTACATTACCCGACCAGAGGCAGAAGCTGCTCTTAGAAAGATAAACCAGGTACTGTGCTAAAGTTTATTTTTAAGTAGTTATAAATATTAATGGAAGGAGAAAAGGGGAACTGGCTTTTATTGAGGACCAATTACAGGCTAGGAATTCTGCTAGGTGATATTCATGCTGTTATACCAAGGGGACCCATTAGTGACAACTTTAGACCTACCAGCATCCATAGCAATGAGTCCTAGAATCTGGGAAAAATCTAAATTAAGGCAATCATTCGGCTGGCAGAATCTGAGGAAATTTTTATTAACGATAAAGGTCTGTCTTGTCATAGGAAGCATACCTTATCAAAAGGAGATCCTTTCTTCCAAACTTCTAACATCTTACTGGTTCCATCTTCATTCTTTAATACACAATTGCCATCCACACTGATGTGAAGAGATCCATATGGAAAAAGGCAGCAGCAACTTTTTGCCCTTTCCCCTAGAAATTTCTAGGTTAACCAGGTCTCCTATGGTCTGGTGATGAACCTTAACCTTAAATCTATACATGAGAGAAAGAAAAGCAAAGATTCTTCATCTCTCACATTTTGAGTCTACAAGAATAATCCTCAATCTTAGCTGCACATTTAAATCACGTGGGGGGCTTTAAAAATTCTGATTCTTGGGTTTCATCTAGAGAGATACCTGATTTCATTGGTTGGGTGTTCTATGTGGGTTCTGGGAGTTTTCAAAACTCTAAATTCTAAATTCTAATCTGTGAATCACTGGTCCACAGGTATATTTGTTGAATAGAAGAGGTTCTGAATGGAATTTACTCAATCGAAATAAAAAGAACATACGAAAGCCACTTTTGTAGATTGATCTCTTTAAAGCCATCATGATTGAACATACAAATGAGGCAGTAGTTTAAAGCTGCCTTACTAATTAATCCTATTTTAATATTAGATCTTTACAGTATAAATATTATGTAGCAATAATTTATGGAGTGACATTTGAAAGTACAGGACAAATCACAACACTATTTTAATATATAGAAGAAAAAAGTGGTAAGAACACAGGATGGTCCACATTTGTTTATGGTCAGATGTTTAATGATGAAGATGTGGTGATCGTGAGGTTTTAAAATGGGTGAATTTCAGAGGCATTTGTGTCTTTTCTCACTTTGGCTATGGAAAGAAAAGGTTAGTGAATTAGCACCCAGTAGTAGGAAGACAGATCTTTAGTTAAAGCAAAAGAGTCCTTATTTTGTCTGGCCCTTTATCCACTCAACCACTTAGTATTTTCTTTTATTACAAAAAAAGGGATTTCTTTTTCATCAAAAGACTTCAAAGAGGTTCTTTTTGAAATTTGGAAATTTTTCTGGTACAATCTTTGCTGCTTCTTGACAACCAAGAAATCCATGACACCTAGGACTGTAACCCTTCAGGGAACTAAATGTTCACTGACTTGTCAACTGGTTAAGTTTCCAGATCTCTAGAGGCTTGTCCATGGCTCCTATAGGCAATACAAGTATAGGCTTTACTGGGGTACCCGGGTGGCTAAGTCAGTTAAACGTCTGATTCTTGATTTCGGCTCAGGTCAGGGTCCTGGGATCAAGCCCTAAGTTGGGCTCCCCGCTCAGCAGAGAGTCGGCTTGAGGGTTCTTTCTGCCTCTCTCTGCCCCTCTCCCTACTCATGCCCTCGTGCTCTCTCTTTAAAATAAATAGTAAAGAAAAAAAAAAAAAAAAAGAAGAAGAAGTATGGACATTTACTGCTCACATAATAACAGGAATTTATTCTTTTAGGATGGCACTTTCCTGGTTAGAGACAGCTCTAAAAAAACAATAACCAATCCATATGTCCTCATGGTATTATACAAAGATAAAGTTTACAACATCCAGATCCGCTATCAAGAGGAAAGCCAAGTTTACTTGTTGGGAACTGGACTCCGCGGGAAAGAGGTAAGGAATTCCAGTTGCAAAACTTCCCCAAATCCTCTGTTTATTTATGCCTTTCTGAACACCTGCCAATGTGGAACCCTACTGTGACATTCTTTGAGAGTCCATACTATGGCAATGTTAGAGTAAGATCACATTAATGAAGCCTGTGGCAGGAAATAAAATAACAGTAGCTATCTGTGCCATAGAGTCTTTCTCTATGGCTTTCTCTATATCTTTAATTCCAAATAGTCTAAGATCACATGTATAACTTTTAACTTTTAAAATTAAAAAATTAACATTTAAATTAAATAGATAGTTAGATGGTGTCAAAGGGAAGTCCCTTCTATCATTCACCTCTCTAACATAATTTTAACGCAAGATTGCAGTGTACTTATAAGGCTATCTTTTAAAATTGACATCTGGAAAGGGGTAAAAAATAAAATTCTTGTTGTGGTGACTATTTAAATACTTGGGTCATTTCTCACTTAAAATGGAGGTTTGGTCAATGAAGGTGGTCAAACTGACAGAGAAATTTTCCTCTGTTTTGCCAGTGTTTATGTTAATTATTTTTTGGATGGTAATTAAAAAAAAACCCCTGCTTTTGCAAAGGAAGCTAACAGCTAAACTTAAGCCCCAAACATGTTCTATAAGTTCAAAGTTCCAGGAAGAGGATCTGCTGAATCAAACATTTCCAGAATGAAAAAGAATTAAGCCTTAGCTTCTACTTTACTCCAAGTATTTTTAATTCATGATCATGTAAACGAGTAGGAAAAAGCACATGCTTCTGATCAAATGTTTCGATCACTGGTTCAGTGTGGCTAGAGCTGCGTAGGTGCTGCAGGGGCAGAGAAGTCTGCCCTCCAGAATTTCTGTTCGTCTGGTGTGGGAAAACCCAAGTACAAACCACACCTTGCTGCTGTCCTGGAAGGAGGCATCCAGCAGGGTAGTCTCAGATGAAGTGCGTAATGTTGTCTGGGGTGCCTGTGTGATTCTGACCCCTGTCTAGAAGGATGGATGGTTTTTTTTTTCCTGTCTGGCCGTCAGGGATAAGGTGATGAAGGCAATGGGTACAAAGATTTGGCTGCAGAGCCTTTGCGAGCGTGAGGTGGCAGTGAGGACACAGCAGGGAGATCATGAAGGAATTATTCCTTCTGCAATGCTATGGATGTCGGCTCCAGACACGGGGACACTGTCTGACCTCCTGATTCCTTATACCTCCTCATACTATTAGTGACTAAGAGTGAAGTAGGGATACAGAAACCAAAATCAAAGACACAAACAGAGCAACCCTAAGGCAAAGGTATCATAATTAGACCTCTTATTTATGACCCCCATAAAGTTAAAAAATATATAAATATATATATCTACATATAACATAAATATAAATATAGACTTTTATCCCTAATTTGTTGGTGTTGAGGAATTATTTTTTTCAAAGTACTATAGTAGAAATCATTAAAATATTTCCCAAGTATTACACATTTTTTCTCACCATCCTCATGACTTGAAGAGGTAGGAAATTATGCAGATAAAAAAAAAAACAAAAACAACTGAGGGTGAAATTCATGCTACTCATTCCAATGTTGATGTATCTCCTTATTTTGAAATTTTCAGGACTTCTTGTCTGTGTCAGATATTATTGACTACTTCAGGAAAATGCCACTTCTGCTCATTGATGGGAAAAACCGAGGCTCCAGATACCAGTGCACGTTAACGCATTCTGCCGGTTATCCCTAGCAAGTTAGCCAAACAGACGAAACTTCCTCCTGCCTCTGTTGCCAGCATGGGAAGATCAGTCAATGGTGGTGAATGGAGAAACACTTGGGACTGAATCAAACCCCTCAACATGAGCACAAGGTTTTGACCTTTCACATAAAAAAGTGTTTGAAATGAAGACTGTCAAATATCTCATAATTTATTTATTCTTCTTCAATGTTTGTAAAGTGCATGAGTAATACTGTTCACACTTGAAGTCTAGTAGTGCACTATAATCATTCATTTAAAAATGTGTATTTTGAAAGAAGTTTACATAGCTACAGAAATAATTTGAGGCCAGTTTAAAAAAATTGAAACAGTAATAGTTTTTGGTATCACATAAAACTTTTTTTTAAATAGCCAAACCTTTGTTAGTCAGAGGCAATCCTTAGTTTTATACATAATTTGACAATTTCTAAAATTCACTTTCTCGGCAGCAATAATTTAAGAGACTTCAAACGATTTCATCCTTTCTTATTTGGTATTTTTCGCTGGGGGGATTTTTGTGTACTTTTTTTATGAAAAGATAAACATATGAGGGGATAACTTCCTAGGATTAAAATTAATTTGTCTTTTGCTTTACTTTTGTGTTCCTAAAACTACTGACTTTGTTTAGTCCATAATATTGTATTTTTAAAGCAAATTTAAGCTACAAATACCAAAAGTAATAATTTTAAATTTAGAGATGAGGCTTTGGAATCAAATATAGCTGGATATAAGTTCATCAGATCCCGACTCCCACATCCCACCCCCTCTGCAACTCCCACAACTCCAAAAGCATTTTCAAGTGATATGGATTTTACCAGAGTCTTCCAACAAAGATGAAAGAGCCATGCATATACACAGAAAAATGTGATCAGACTTTCCTATTAGATGCCTTTCTTCTCTCTTTTATCCCCTGACAACTCTACCATAAAGCTCTTCTCATCACCATTCCTAAAAAGGCTTTATAGATCCTTTGAAGCAACACAGCTCTTCCCTTCAGCTTACATATCTCACTTAACAGATGGTAGTAGGTGTTCAGCACAACAAAAACCAGGGGACGGTTGTTCTTCAAGTTCTCCCCTTTGGGGCCTTTGTTATTAATCTATGACTTTTATTAACAACAAAAATTTTTGGCTTCTCTACTTAATCTGCAAGTTTTCTGAGTGGCAAAAAATATCTTGCATCTTATTTTCGTAAGTTAATTAATAGAACATCAGAGGGGAGCTTAGAAGTTACCTGATTAAAACTGATAATTTGCTAAGATAACAAGTATGTGCACACGTTTAACCAGTGATGATGATAACGTTTCATCAAGTTTCATCCTTACAAACCGGAAGTTCTCAATTTAGGGTCCAGAGCTAGGGAGTTCTAAAGCTGAAAAATTTGCAATCCTTTACATGTTTATTCAAAAGGACTTCAACAAGCATTTATTCAGTGCCTATTCTGTGTTAAACACTGAGCTGGGTGGTGAGGGTAGCAGACACTGTGAGCTGACCTTGTGTCTTGCTTTTGGGTATACTGTTCTTTATGTTGAAAATCTCTAAAATGAAGGAGGTCATAGATTTTAAAGCAACTATTTGGTAGTAAATCCTGTCAGCTGCCACGTCTCTACCCTCTTGTACCTGCCATATGTAGGACACCAGTCTATAACAGAAGAGGATAAAGACGACACAGAAATAGAACCAGGTTAGAGACATTATAAATTAGTAGGGTCCCTGACATCTATTTTAACTACTTCCAAGTCACATGAACCAATAAACCCTAAAGCTAGCTTGAGTTGTTTTTGGCATTTGTTACCAGGAGAGATTGGATTAATACAAATTTATACCAAGCATTTCCAATTTGGTTAACTCTCTTTCAATCTGAGCCAAAATTCAAGCAAAGTAAAGGATAAGCAACGCCCGATGGCCAATTTCCTATATCCTATTCTTGCCACTAGTGAAATGAATTAGCTATTCTTTGAAACATTAAAACAGTAAGACAGCTTTTAAGAATATTAAATGATTATTTACAACTCATATTTTTATTTTTTTTTTATAATATTAAATATCTTAGTAAAATCAGTTCTCCCAGACACATGGTAATTCCACAATAAATACAGTTACAAATTCACAACAAACCAAAAGAAATCAGATAGAAAAGCTCTTAGAAGCAAAGGATACATCTGATAGTTTAGACTCTTCAAAGAGGGGGATTTTCTCTTCTGGTTCCTGTAGGTCATCTGTCTTCACAGGATGACTAAAATGTAGAGTAAGGTCACAAAGCAGCAACTGGGAGAGCTCTGTGTAAAACAAAATAATAGAAGATACCATCTTGGAGCACATATGTCATAGACAATCATTATTCTTTTTTTTTTTTGAAAGATTTTATTTTTGGGGGTTCCCTGGGTGGCTCTTCATTGAGTGTCTTCCTGATTTCAGCTCAGGTCAAGATCTCTGAGATGGAGCCCTGTGTCAGGCTCTGTGTTCAGCTCAGAGTCTGCTTGAGATTCTCACTTCCTCTTCCCCTCGTCACACCCGCATTCTAACTCTCTCTAAAACAAATACAATCTTTGGGGGAAAAGCTTTATTTTTATGTAATCTCTACATCCAATGTGGGCTCGAACCCACTACCCTGAATTCAAGAGCTGTACGTTCCACAAAATGAGCCAGCCAGGTATCCCTATTATTACTTTCTGTATCTCTTTCTAATTCTTAGTATTCTCTGAAGTGATTGAGACCACAATCAAGTGTGCCCATTTTAACTTAAAGTCAAATTTTTGTACTATAAAATAAGCATGACATAAAAATTAACTAGAAGTCTCTACTTTTGCACTATCTTACCAAACTGCAACTTGATTTATAGAAATGTGATTTATGCTTTTTATAAACTTATTATTTTTGTGTCATATGTTATGTGTAGAGAATCGAATAGCATGTTACAAAATTTAGCAGTTCCTATCTCCAAGAGGCAACCACTCTTAATTTTTTTTTTCCCTGCTTAGATTGTTTTTGTTGCTTTTGTTGTTTTATATGTGTCTGTGTTTGGTGTCTTTTGGTTTTGTTTGGGGGGCAGGTTGGTATTTACCTCCATATCTCTAAATGACACAAATATTTATTTTTTTAACCACAGGAATTATCTATCTGCTTTTGACTATAGAAGACTATGATAGAGCTCTTTTCACTCACCCCCCAGAGCCCCAGTGTACTTAAGAATACAATTTTTGTTAGCTCAGTATTTAACGGTTAACATTTTTTGATTATATAAATATTCTCCACAGCTGAGCCTTTCCTTTCCTTCCAGTGCCACCCAATCAGTTAATAATCTTCTTATTTTCACTGTTTAATTATCATAAATATATCCCAAATCTTCCCTAGTTGGGCAGATCTCCTTTTGGTATATAGTCAGATGCCTTAGCTCTCTGCCTTGTTGAAAGTCTCTCCTCTCCTAGAGCCTTCTGATCTACTCTAGTCTGGACTGGTGGTTCTCTAGGACTGCAGTGCAGCACGCATCTGAGAACTCCTTTCCCCATTATTCTATGGACTCCTTTCCCCCCATCCCTTGTGTGGAGTATCCTTTTTCTAAAACCTCATTTCTTTCTCTTCTGGTCTGCTACCTTGTTTGGTGGAATATGACCTCAGGAATCAGTAACTTTCTGAAGGAGGAAAAGTTTTGTATCTGAAAATTTCTCTCTCTATACTAATGTTGAATAGATTGACTGACTGTACAAATATAGGTTAGAAATCACGTTTCTTCAGAGTTCTGAGGACTTGCTGCACTTTCTTCTAGCTTCTAGTGTAGCTGTGAGAATTTTCATGATTCTAGTTCTTTTTTTTAAGATTTTATTTATTTATTTGACAGAGAGAGATATCACAAGTAGGCAGAGAGAGGAGGGAAGCAGGCTCCCTGCTGAGCAGAGAGCTGGATGTGGGGCTGGATCCCAGGACCCTGAGATCATGACCTGAGCCAAAAGCAGAGGTTTAACCCACTGAGCCACCCAGGCGCCCTCATGATTCTAGTTCTTAATTGTTATTTCTCTGTAGAAACTTTAAGGACTTTTTGTTCTTCCAGAACAAAATTTCACAGTATTGTACCTTGGGGGTCTACTTTCAACCACTGTGTTGGGCTCTTACATTATAGAGACTCTTCTCCTTCAGCTCATTAAATTTTTCTCAGATTAGTTCTTTAATGAATTCCCTCCCCGTGTATTGTCTGTGTTCTTTCTTTATAACACTCCTAGTTGTTGAACTTCCTTCACTGATCTTGTAATTTTTTCTCCCTAAAACTTTTCACCTCTATTTTTTTTGCCCTCTATGGGATTGTCTTCTTTTTATCTTTAAACCCTTCTACAGAGGCTATTTCTATTTTCCCACTTAATTTCCAAGAATCCCTTCTCTAAACTTTTTAAAAAAAGATTTTATTTATTTATTTGAGAGAGAGAGTGTGTGAGAGAGCATGAGATGGAGGAGGGTCAGAGGAAGAAGCAGACTCCCTGAGCTGGGAGCCCTGATGTGGGACTCGATTCTGGAACTCCAGGGTCATGACCTGAGCCAAAGGCAGATGCTTAATGGACTGAGTCAGCCAGGCATCCCTCTAAACTTTTTTTATAGGCTCATGTTCCTGTTCCATGGACATAGTATTTTCTCTTGGGTCTCTTCAGCTATTGATAGTTTCTTGGGAGTTTTCATCTCACTTCATGATTTCTGTTTCTTTTTCATTGAGGGAATCCATGTATTGACTTTGTCTCTGCTTTTCAAAGTAGATGCTTTCATCAAATATCTACTGCACCAGAGCTATATCTGCTCGTATTTAAGACCACAGCACTAAAGACAACTGGAAACTCTGTGCCTATGGTAGCCTGTATTGGGGGGCAAGCTGGCTGGGTATTCTATTGGGGGCAACCTCTGCTCTCGGTGTCTTTAGAATTTTTCCCTTAGGCTAGTCAGATTCCTGAAAGAAAAATCTGCTTGAGTGTGTAATTCTGGTTAGCAATGTTTCGTAGCCAAGTGGGAAAAGAAAACTGGGAGTCTTGTAATCCAGTATGTAAACTTTGTCTTAATATCTTTGTTTTCAGCACAGTACTCTTTGCCTCAACTTATGGCTAATGGCTCCAGGCCAGAGATCCTCTCAGGGAATAAAATTCAACTTTTCTGTCATAGAAAAGGAAGGGTTGCTTCGTTCAGAGAGGGGAAGAGAACTTAGGGGTCTACAACTTCTTCTTGTTCTTGTTCTTCTTTTAGAGAGAGAGAGGTTGGGGTGGCAGAGAGGGAGAAGGGGAGAGAGAGAGAGAGTCTCAAGCAGGCTGCATGCCTGCATGGAGCCCAATGCAGGGCTCCATCTCACAATCGAAATCATGACCTAAGCTGAAATCAAGAATCAGATGCTTAACTGAGTGAGTGACCCAGGTGCCCCTTTTTAATATTTATATTTATTTATTTATTCAACAACTTCTTAAACATTTAACTAGCCTTCCTGTTCTTAGCCCCACCTTTACCCCCACTTCCAGAGGATTATGGCGCCACCATATATTGAGTCCTCATTGCCTCTACCCAGCCAGCTCATGGTTCAGATTTTTGTACGTTAAGGTTCAGACTTTCCTGTTTGCTTTCATTTGCTTTCCGTTTCACTATGAATTGTTTTTGAGAGCTCTTTATCTTGTGCATTTTTGTCTCTTTAAAATCACTTTAAATTTAAACCTCAGGTTTACCAGTGACTAGTTCTATGACCTTGGAAGAGTTAGCTAACCTGTCTATGTCTGTTTCTCTATCTATAAATGCCAATGGTAATATTTTCTACCTCATAAGGTTGTGAGGACAACTGGGTGCATTTGTATAGCGCTCTTGGAAGAACATCTGGATTATGGTAAATGCTATGTGTCAGCTATTGACATTCTTATTGAGAGAAGGAAGTGTGGCTAAAAGGAGTGTTGTTCGTTTAAGCTTCTAAGTTTACCAGAAGTCTGCCCTCTGATTATAGCTCTATGAGCCCCTATAGCTTAACTGCCTGACTTCCCCCACAGCTTCTGAAGAACACATTCATCACATTCACTGTTTCTATTTTACTTCATGAAAGAATAATCCCCAAATTAGAACAGTTACGTATTAAGTTTCAGATAAACCTAAAGCTTTTCTGTTTTAAACGAAGACAAGCAATGAGACACCAATTATTCATTTAGTAAACACTTACAAGAAGTTATTATATCAAGGTACTAAGTTAAGTGCTAGGAAGACCCTGTAGGAGCTTACAGTTGAGCAGGGAGAGGAAAAGAAAGTCAACATGTAATTACAACACAGTGTGATAGATGATAGGAAAAGGTAGAAGAGATAACATGCTTGTTCAAAAAAATTTTGCCAGTGTAAGTAATTGACTAATAAGTAGCAGTTAACCTGGCCAGGTGGAGGTGGGGGGTGCAGCGGTGGGCATTTCAGAAGATGCGTGTGTTAAGGTACAGATGTGGATAAAGAGCAAATACGTAGATTTGCAAGTGGTTCAGTATGGCTGAAGCACAGAATGTGCAGGGAGAAAAGAATGATAAGATACTGGAGAGACAGCCTGGGGCCTGATCTCAAGAGGTCTTATAGGCCATTCTAGGAGGCGTGTTGGACTTTATTCCGGGGCAATAGTGAACTAATTAGAGTTTTTAGGAGATTCACATTTTAGAAAGAAAATCCTTGCTGTATTGTTGAGTTTGGTTTTGAGAGATGATGAATTAAGCAGGGATAACCAGATTTCTTTACAACAGATTCCTCGGAGACTTTGTCAATATGTATTGTGAATTTCTGAGAGAAATATACAGCATAAAACACTTCCCAAATTTATTTGACCACAATAAGGTGGACTCTGTTCTTACTGCACACCACTTACTAAAACCTCTGGAGACAGCAGGGTTAGCATATCAAAGTCTGGGAAATATGGCACTCACTATTTGGTGCCTAACTAACAAGCACTCCCCTCTTCTTCTTGGGGCAATACTTGATTCCGTCAGAGGTGATCCGTTCCCCAGCTCCAGCAGTAAGTCCTGACTGGCCCAGACTGGTCTTGGCAGTTCCATTCCCCTTGACAGCAGATGGTGTAGGCATATGCATTTGATGCAATCTGGTCATGAAAGGGAAGGGAAAATAAGCTGGAGGGACCTGGGGAAAGGCTTTTATAGAGACACAGGCAGATACGGTGTCTGTAGATGGCCACACCTGCAGGTAATGACTATGAGGGATAAACAGTGAACAGAACAGAGCAGAAAAATGTAAAGAACCTGTATGGTCAGAAGCCTTTAAAACTCTGAATTAATTCTGGGTCTGCCCTACTTTTGATCTCTTATTTCCTTCTTGTGTAAGCCACATTAAGTCGATATTTTGTTACTCTTATAGCTGAATTCCTTATAACTGACAGAGAAGCTATCCTCAAATATCCAAGAGCTGTCATAAGAAGAATAACTACATACTCAGTGTAGTTTCAGATTAGAAATAGGACCAGTGTGAAAGAAGACGGGAATAGATTTCAGCTAGTCCATAAGGAGGAACCATCTAAAAAGGAAGAGGCTGCCTGGTGAGATAGTGAGTTCTCCAACAGAGGAAATATTTGGTCAGGGATAAACTGTCCCTAGAAATACTCAGTCATGGAATTTTACATGTCTGGGATAAAATAATAGAATGTCTGTGAGGTGAATATCTAAACATCATGAACTATAAGGTCTAATTCTACTCTATGAATCTGTTTAAAATGATGAAACCTTAACTCATAGAACAAACAAACTTATAATTTTAACTTGGAAGGAACCTTAGGGGCTTGGTAATGATTAACGGATAGAGACACTGAATTTTGCAGAATGTGACATCATCTGCATTTATTGAAGGGAAGGAGGAAAGTATATTTAAAGAGCTTAGTTAGACAACATCATAAGCTTGTTAGTGTCAGGGATAGGAATTCAAGTCTGCTAACTCCCAGGAAAATTCTCAAACATAATTCATCTTTAGATTTCAAGTTCATATTACAGTATCAACAATTCTTAAGAAATAGAGAAATTCTAATTAGTTGGCAAATTCAGTTATATCCCAGCAGAAACACAATTTGGCTCTATTGTTTGTTTTATAACTATGGCATGCAAACATTTTAATTCAGTGATTCCATACTTACCTTTCATCTTCTTCAACTCCAAAGAAATTGTGTTAATGTTTTTAATTATGGCCTCCACATTTAGCTTATGGTCAGTAACATTATTCTTAAACATCTGATTTTAAAAGAGAAACAAAACGTATAATCAGAAGCATTTATGTGCACTTTGAAAATACTTCAGTCTTCCCTAGTTCTAAAAGGAAAATCTATTATTTCAGAACTGAAATAATTGTGAAATAATAGTCAATATAATGGCTAGAATTCTAGCACAGTAAGACATCAACTTTTTCATTTTCCAAGTGAATACACCTCCAACTAGAATTCTTCTTTAATGAAACCAGATAACAAGATGGGGCCCTTACAATGGAAATGCAGAGGTCTCTTTTTCAGAAAGCCTCAGCACTTATAGACTACCTTATAATTGAGTAGTCATACAAAACTTTCTCTAATTTTGTTTATGTAAGACAGTGTATTCTTCTAACTTATTCTTGAATAACAGGGTCCACAGAAAAACTCTAAGTACATAGTAAAACTCAAAGTGAGATTCAATTACAATTCATAAACTAAGAAGACGGCAAAAGGGCCACTTTTATTTTAGCTTTAGGAATTAGGGCAATACACTTTTTTAAATATTCTGGTTAACTAAAATGTATAAATCAACAGGTTACCATGTTCTATGTACACTACATATTTTTTTTAACCAATTTTGTCAGGTACAAATACATAAACAGGTGGTTCACTAGAAACTAATCTTAGCCATTCAAATCTCTCCAAATGATTTGACAAAATAAACCACAATTAGCACACACAGCTCTGGCAGTGTGAAAGTTAGTTATGGGTCAGGCTGCTTGTCCAAAATAATGAAAATAAACTAACCGTTAAGTCGATTTCTTGACTCTGCTTTCTCCTGAATCGAGGAATTTATCCTACTTCACTCACTTTAGAGTCACTAAAAAGGTATAAAAATTTCATTTTCCAGTGAATAAAATATATTTTGCATCCACCTACAATAGCCTAGAAGCCAAAAAGGGAATGGTAGCTATCTTACTTGGTTGGATATAGCAAATCAAAAGATTTGTGTTTGAGGCGGGTGTTGGGGTTTTGGGTGGGGGGAGAAAAGCTGCTAAAAAAGAGGGTGAAGAAAGTGTAATTAAAGAACTTTAAAAATGAGGAATGGTTATTTAAAAAAAAAAAAAAGAAATTAAAAAAAACCAAGAGGGAAGTAGAAACTACGTGGATAGAGAAATACCCAAGAAAGTTGACCCTCCCACCGCAGGTCTAGTTACCCGGCGCCCTTGAGTGTGCCCTTGGATGGGGGATGGCGGTGGGGGCGGGGGTGGGGGAATGTGGGTGGAGGGGTGTCGGAAGGCAGAGCTGAGGCTGGACCCCACTGAACTGGAGAGAGGTCAGTGGTGCGTCAAGCCTTCCGTGGAGATCTGGGTTAGGCCATCGCTCAGAGATAAGGGAGAGGCCAGTCAAAGGGCATTCCCCAGAGGTGAGAAGTGGTGAGAAGGCTCTGGGGATGGAAGGAATAGTGGAACCAGAGGCCAAGATACCGCAGGCTGAAGGCAGTGATGCAACCGAGGCACTGACCTCCAGCTGGGAGGCCGGGAGGCACAGCTCAGGTCCTCATCCTAAGGAGTGAGGATCATCCCCGCAGCTTCTGTTCTAAAGGCCACCCCTTCCTTCTCAGCCCAGTCCACACCAGTGAGGAGCCCCGGGGTGTCGCTGGCCGGCCCAACCACCCCTTGGTGACTGAAGATAGCCTCAAAGTTTCCACTGCCCTCGGCTCCCAAACCGGATGAGGACCATACAAAACACATTCCGCATGACCCTGGCCTTGGGACCACCACCGGACCCTTCTGGAACCCATGGATGCCCGTGAGGAGCCCCAAGCCCTTGGGGGCCCGCCCATTTGGAAGCTGACAATGGAGCCTGAGGCAACCTGGAAATTTCCACAGCCTTGCCTTGCCCCCAAACCAGATTAGGATTATTTAAAAACCAGTACCTTTGGCTGGCCCACAAACCAACACTCTAAAGACCCACGTGGCCCAACGGTCACCACAGCTCTGACGAAAGTGGGGGCGGAGCCGACTGTGAAAAGCACGACTGTGCATCCTGATTGGCCAGCTTCTCTTCCTCCTGCAACCTGGGAGTTGTAGTCCAAGGCAAAGCTCCTGCGGAGAAGGTGCCGGGCGCTAAGCTGGAAGGGATTCGTAGGGACCTGCAGCCTGAGAGGGAGAGTGAAGAAGGCGCTGACATTTTTGCTTTTTGTGTGGCAGGCACTGCGCTAGGCGCTTCCCAACCCTTATCTGCATTTAATTTTCACAATATAAGGAGTGTTATTAAGGCCAGACTCCGTCTAGACTGAAACTGCTCCGGTGTGAATCGTACTCCGGCATTTGTTTAGCTAGAGAGGTGCTGGTAAACAGTTTAATCATTTAGAGTACGAGCGTCCTCATCTATCATGTGAAGATAGTAATAACTGCCTGCTGGTGTTCTTTTGAAGTTTAAGTGAGATAATGCATCAAAGGGAGTTGGCAGAGGATAGGCCCCATAAATGTTAGCTATTACCATTCCTATAAATTTTTATAGATGCGTGAAGAGTACAGACGATCCTGGAGTGTATACTGGAGAGATATACACTGGTCTCTTGCCAGTGGGGAAGCTGGGATCCAAGCCATCTTCACTAGATTCCGAAAAGAATCTCTGGTAAGGCAGCCTCTGGGGCTGACTCAGACACGTTCCCTCTGACTTACTAAGTAAGTCTTTGCCTTTTCTAAATCTTCCCTATAATATCGAGCAGTCTCTGTCATTTCCTGACAACCCAGAGCACATAATCTCTTGTTTAAGTGCGGTCGCTTGCAGTATGACACTGTGGAGTCTGTTGTCTGATAAGAGGTAGATGAGGAAGGGAGCAGGAGGAGCAACTTCAGTCCTAAGGAGAACTACCGATGTAATCTCGGAACACTGGAGCTGCCTTTCTCCCTACCTTGGTTTCCTCATGTGTTTCCTTATGAGAGGGATGGGCTAGACCGGTGTTTCCTAAGTTGCACTCACTGTAAGGCTACTGTTAGGACTATTTGCCCTGAACTGTGTACCACCTGTTTTATTCGCTTAGTACTTTAAATTTACTTCCCTTTAAAATTTAAATCTAGGGGCGCCTGGGTGGCTCAGTGGGTTACGCCTCTGCCTTCGGCTCGGGTCATGATCCCAGGGTCCTGGGATGGAGCCCCGCATCGGGCTCTCTGCTCCGCAGGGAGCCTGCTTTCTCCTCTCTCTCTCTGCCTGCCTCTCTGCCTACTTGTCATCTCTATCTGTCAAATAAATAAATAAACCTTTTAAAAAATTTTAAATCTACTTTTAAAGTTTTTTTGGGTATCACCAGTGTAAACAGAAGCTAATAGGAAAAATAAAGACAATGGGAATAAGACAACGTTTGTAATCATCTAGACATTTCTTGCCTGCTGATGGCGGTGTTCCTGTAGCTGGGTCTCCTTTGTTAAAATGGGTTATTAAGTGTTAGCGAAGAGTTAAAGATAGTGTAGCCCAAACTCAGACTTTCTTTTTGAGGTAATCAGAAGAATTGAAAGAGTTAGAAGGGGAATAACTCTCACTTATAATTACGCGTTAATGCCTTTGTACCATATGAAACCACCTCTCATATCCTTGGTGGGATAAGTCCCACACTTTCTTCAAACTAGATTTAGGTGCTGTCCAATATACCGTCCCATTCTAAAACTCCTTCCTTCTCGACATGCTATAGGTACCTTTCAAAACTCACCTCAATCCTGGAAAGAGTCTTCTTGAATGAACCCTACCAAAATCTACAGTTTCATCCCAGTTCCTCTGCCAAGGCTTCCTTTACTCATTTAGACTGTGTACACTTCCTGTTATCAGGTCTCGCATTTTCTGATTTCTGATACATGCGCTGAGCATTTCTCATCTAATTCTTTGAGTAAAGAAGACACAGAAGGTCAGGCAACAAATATTCTTTTAGCACTCACCTATTAGGAATTATGTTAGAAGCCTTCATCTTCTGACAATTCTTTGAGGTGGCTGTTATCACCCTAGTTTCATAGAAAACAAAGCTCGAGTCCAGAGTTTAACACTTGCTCAGGGGCACAAGAACCAGACATCCTGTCTGTGCAACTCCAGAGCCTTCTGTTCTTTTCTCTGCACTAAGCTGTCTCCCAACCAGGACACCATCTCCTGAAACAGTAAACAAGGACATCATGGCTCCATGGTGTGTGTGTTTCACAGATCACTGATCTTGAACACACACGTACTAACGCACATCCAAGCATACAAGTGACCAACCTGGGATGAGGAACATTTATTTTAGAAATTAAGGACATTATAAAAGCAAAAATAACTGTCATCACTGTTTTTATAAAAGCAGAGATCACTGTTTTTATAAAAGCAGAGATAATCTGACATCCAAAAAGAAAGGAAGAAAGAAAAAAGAAGGAAGGTTATAGTAATTTCAGAAAAGACCAGCTTCATAAAAAATTTACTGGATGTCTTTTTTCTTCACCCCCTTGTATTGATTCAGACTAGTGAAAACTAGTCTCAGACCTGCACCCAGATGTGTGTTCGGAAACTCCACATAGATTATAGCAGGAGATGATAAGGTGTATAAGAGAAGCAGGGTGAAAAACATAGGAGATAGCATTAGGATTGAGAATCCTGAAAATCCAGTGATGATGGGGGCTGGGTCTTGGTAGGATGAGGAGTCTCTGGGGCCGCATCATCCCAAACCCACTGACCCCATTCACAAGATTCAGGAAGTGTTTGTGGGTCCTGCTTCAGCTCAGATACCTGTGGGTTAGGATTCTGCTTACGGGACTTCTGATAGAATACAAAGACCTTCCACCCATCCCAAATGCTGATTACTTCTTCTGAGTGGATTCAAATGCTGTGATTTGGGAAATATCATCATGAAGCCTTTACAAAAAGAAGAATAAGAAGAATCAATTTTGTGTTTCTTTTAAAATAAGTGGTATAAGAAGAAAAAAGAGATGTGGACTCAGAAAAAGATAGATTGTAATAATGTATTTTTCTTCACAAAAATGTCTTAACGTAATGATGACTACTTATTGTAGTGTTTTTCCTCCCTAAGTAACTATAGATTCTTATTTCTTTTCATGGGAAAATAAAACTTTCAAAGCCTGATTTGCTACTTAAAGCTTGAGACTGTTATAGATGAGCCCCTTAAAAAAAATCTATCTTCTTTAATAAGTTTGCAATGCTTTACTGGAACTCCGTCCAGGTTGCAGTTGCTGATTCTAATGTTAATCAAATAAAGAAGATTAAAAAGCTGACAAATTCTCCCATAAAGAGAAAAGTTGTTACAGAAAAACAAGGTGATTAAGCGTTTTATGGAGTCGGGTGTGAGTGTCTCAGTTAGTTTTCTTACGAATTCTTGACATAAAGTCTTCGTTTCCAGGAAAACAAATTGAATAAATTATCTCATTTCTTGCCCTTGCTCTCGGAGTTCCCATTCCCACTGTTTCCCTGCTCATCATCAATTACAAGTGCAGGGCTCTGCTTGGGGACTGGCTCCCGTTGGAGTGTCAACTTCCATCTGAATATGGCTTTGTACTACCCTCTTGCATATAAATTAGGAGGTCACAGTTGCCTTCTTAGATCATTACATGTGCAGCATGACCAAAATCTGATAGATCAAAATAATCTCCCCATAGCCAATCACGGAAAGAAAGAGAGAAGGCACGTGACTTTGGCCACTGTGTCTGAGGTGAAAGGTGGGCTCCTTGCCCCATTGTCTTCTTCAAGCAGCTGCTGTTCCACTGGGAAAAATCATTTTCTTTTTCTCTAGAAGAAACACACTTCTGAACTATAGAAAGGTGTTACTAACAAAAATCCACATTGCTCGCTGTAACTAAAGTATTTTCACTTCTAATTAAGAAATTACACGAAAGAAGGATATCCTGCCATTTGTGAAATGGGGTGGACCTTGAGGCCATTATGTTAAATGAAATATGTCAGACAGAGACTTATACATGGAATCTAAAAACATTGAACTTCTAGAAACAGATAGTAGAATGGTAGTTGCCAGAGGTTAGGTGGTGGGGGAAACGTGAAGATGTTGGGGAAAGGGGACAGATTTTTCTGTTACAAGATGAATGAATTCCAAGGATCCAAAATGGTGCCTGCTGTTAACAATACTCTACTGTATACTTGAAAGCTGCTATGAAAGAGGGGATTTTAATGTTTTCACCATAAAAACAACAACAATAAAACGCTTATTATGTGAAGTCAAGGATAACCTTGCTATGGTAAACATTTCACAATAGTTATGCATATAAAATCATCCCATCGTACACCTTAAACTTAATGCTATATGTCAATTATACCTCGATTAAGTGGAGGAAAAAAAATAGTCTGTACCAACATTTTCCTCTGAAATAGGAAGCTATCCAAATATACAGTTGCCAGATAAAATATAGGACACCCAGTTAAATTTGAATTTTAAATAAACAACAAATAATTTCTTTACTGTGAGTATTTCTTGAGTATTATGAGGTACATACTTATATTTAAAATGTATTTCAAAGTCAAATTTAACTGGGAATCCTGTACTTGTACTGGCAAAATTTGGCAACTCTATACCCCAACACTTAAGCCCCTAAAAAGAAAAGCAAACAAACAAAAAGAAAAGAAAAGCAAACAGTTCTGAAGACTTGTAGATTTAATAGGTATAGAAGCCAATTGAAGAATATTGAATATTAAGAATATTGAAGTTTTCCAACTTGATGCCCAAAGTAATAAAATACATACACTTACTGTACCAGAATTTGGCCCTCTTATTCCTTCAACTGAAGTTCCTGTAATGCAAGAATGAAGCTAAGTCTTCGAGAAAACAAATAGACAAAAGCTGACAGTATTCAGCAAGGTGCTATTTTTGACAGCTGCTGGCTATGCCTGTTTGTCCGAAAACTCTTTGTTCTTGGCTTTTTAGAAAATGCCTTTATCCAGCAAGACATATTCATGATACAAGTTGTGTTTATTTCCAGAGATCCACCAATCAGAGGAAACCTTTTCTGTCCCCAAATAAAATATGTTTCCAATTCCATCACGTCTGCCTTGCATCCCC